GATAACCGATTATGTACGAAAAAATATATTAACTTATCCCATGTTGAAATTTTTCTCCGTTGCGTGTCGCTTCGCGTTGAATTTTCGTCGATGTTAAACCTAACAAAGACTATTGTATCGTTAAAAATTATTTTTTTATTTTGTACAAACAAAATAAATATATTGAAAAATATAAAAATAATAAAAAATTATACTTCAGATGTTAATTTAGTATCAAAAACGTAAAATATTTGAGTAACCCAAGACATAGCCAAAGATTGAAGCGCCACAGCACTGGCGAAAATTTAAATTTGCCGACTGAAATTCTTTCGGATGATTGACTTTCGGAAAATCGACGCTCTACTGTAGTTCGTTTGATTCTCAGCAATTCTAATCATTTTCAGCGGCAGGTGTTATATAGCAATTACTATGGTTGTTGAAATACTGAATATAAATGGGGTTTGCTTTCAAAACCTCCGCGGGCGAAGTCGCCGGTAACAGCTAGTAACTTATAAATATATGGATGGGTCATGAGTCAATATTTGCCTTATGGAGAATTTGAATGGATCAATGAAGATATAGATGTAACACAGATACCAGGTGATTCGGATACTGGATATATATTAGAAGTTGACCTGAAATACTCTAAGAAACTTCACAGAAAGCATTCAGATCTTCCTTTAGCTCTAGAGAATAGAATACCAGATGGATCAAAACAATCTAAGCTGTTAACCACTTTATATGATAAAAGGAATTATGTGATTCATTATAGAAATCTAAAACAATATTTGAAAATGGGGATGAAACTCAAAAAGGTACATAGAGTTTTAAAATTTAAATAATCGGATTGGTTGAAGAAATATAGATCTGAATACTAAAATGCGAACCAAAGCAACTAATGATTTCGAAAAGGACTTTTTTAAAGTAATGAACAACTCTCTGTTTGGAAAGACAATGGAAAACATAAGGAAGAGAGTTGATCTCAGGTTATTTTGTGATGCTAAACAAGTAGTCGCTAAGCCGAACTTTAAACATCGAACCATATTTACTGAAAACCTATGTGCTATTCACATGAATAAGACAAAAATATACTTCAATAAACCCATCTACGTGGGAATGAGCATATTAGATCTTTCAAAGTATTTAATGTATGATTTTCATTATAATGTGATGAAACCTAAATATGATGATAATATAAAACTGTTATATCAAGACACCGATTCTTACATTTATAATATAAAAACTGATCATTTCTATCAGGATATGAAAAGAATTATTAATTACTTTGATACATCAGATTATAAAGAAGATAATGAATATGGTATACCTAGAGTAAACAAGAAAGTTTTAGGTAAAATGAAAGATGAGAATAATGGTAAGATAATGACTAAATTTGTGGGATTAAGAGCAAAAATGCATGCCTTCAAAGTTGAGAATAAAGAAGAAAAGAAAGCTAAAGACATTGAGAAATGTGTAGTTAAGAATAAAATATCATTTGAAGATTATAAAGACTGTTTATTTAATAATATAAAGCAATGTAGAACAATGAATCTAATTAGAAGTAAAAAGCATAAAATTTATTCTATGAAGGCAAACAAGTTAGCATTATCACCACATGATAATAAGAGACATATATTAGAAGATGGTATTCATTTATTAGCATTAGGTCATAAATTTTTTCTTACATAAATGGACTCTAGAATAAAAAGGGATATTGATTGGTATAATTTTTCAAAACGAGCGAATTTAATAGAAGATCTAATAAGAAAATTTAAAGATGAAGTTAACTGGGATTTGATTTTAATATTTCAAAAGTTACCAGAACGTTTCATAAGAGAATTGATTGATTGAAGAGTTAATTGGGACTCAATATCTCAAAGGCAAAAATTGTCTGAATTTTTTATTAACGAATTTAAAGAAAGTGTGAACTGGAAAAAAATATCAGAACACCAAAGTCTCTCTGAAAATTTTATAAGACATCTGATGATAAGGTTAATCGGCAACTCATCTCTACAATCAAACATTATCTTCGGAATTTATTCTAGAATATGCAAATAAAGTGAATTGGGATGCTATATCTCGATTTCAAAATTTAGATAATGAGTTTATTATTAAATATGCTCTAAAATTAAATTTAAATTCACTTTTAAGATATCAAACCATATCGGAACAATTACTCGAAGACTTAGATCGATTAAATGTATTAGACTGGAAAACAGTTGTTAAATATCAAGAATTATCCGAAGATTTTATTATAAAACATAAAAATAAAATTGATTGGTGTGATATTATTTTAAAGAAAAGGTTCTCCAACGAATTTATTGAAAATAATTATAAAAATATAGTTGTTTCATTGTTAGCAAGAATTTGTAATAAATAATCTTNATTCGAGAATATGCAAATAAAGTGAACTGGGATGCTATATCTCGATTTCAAAAATTAGATAATGACTTTATTAGAAAAAATGTTTTAAAATATAATTTAAATTCACTTTTAAGATATCAAACCATATCGGAACAATTACTCGAAGACTTAGAACAATTAAATGTATTAGACTGGAAAATAGTTGTTAAATATCAAGAATTATCCGAAAATTTTATTATAAAACATAAAAACCAAATTGATTGGTGTGATGTTATTTTAAAGAAAAGATTCTCCAACGAATTTATTGAAAATAATTATAAAAATATAGTTGTTTCATTGTTAGCAAGAATTTGTAATAAATAATTTTTCCCCTATATAAATGGAGACTGATGTTCATAATGTTGAGTCAGTATTAATTTGCTACGGTGGGAAAGTAAGGAATTATTATATTTGGAAGGATGGAAGCGGGCATTTTCTTATCTTGGATTATGTTGATACACTTCAAGGTAGATTTTTACGTACACCACAAGAAAGATTTTTACATATTGATAGATGAGCCAGATTTTGAGTGTTTCAATATTCATTAAATTTTTCCCTATATAAATGGAGACACTGAAAAAACTAAACAATATTGGTAAACTTCAAAATACTCCAACAAAGAAATTAAACGAGTTGCAAATTGATTACGAATATCCAATTCATTATTTTAAAACAGTATCCACTCGTTTTCGTGATAAAAAGTTAGTAGTTCTTAGGGACACTGAATGGAATGAATTTCAAGTTTTTCTACGTGATCGATTTAATAAAAAAAACAATGCATAAGGATTTAGATAATATGACTGATTTAAAATTTATATACAGGGGTATGAAAGATTGTGGGAATATGTATAAAGCGTATGTTATTGAGTTTGACTTTTTTTTATATTTACTTTTTTGTAATAAATGACTTGATTAAATTCACTAAATTTAATTAAATTCAATGAATTAAACAGGCTTTAAATAACACTTGGAATCAATAACATTTTATAGGTTTTGATTTTTGTTTAAATTCAGTAAATTTTACTTTTGATTTTGATTAAATTCATTTAATTTTACAGGCTTTTAAATTTTTGGGGGAGAACCGACATTATTATACTATTAGTATAATAATGTCTATACTATTAGTATACTGTAGTAGGCCAATACCATAAGCCACTGTGGCCCTACGTGTCTTTATGCAGCGAGAGTGTAGCGAAATGACGTCACGAGCAGTGTTGGCCAATTAGAAACCAGTTTCAGTGTGTTCGCTGTAAAGCGCTTCTCGAGCCCTGCATAAAGAAACGCGGGGTGGTACACACTTGTTTGAGTTTATCGTCGAGTTTTCGATTGTCATTGTTTCCAGTCAGGCAACTGAAATCTTTGGTAAGTAAATTTATACATTTTTTCCAATATAAAGATTACAATGATTTAATGTTAGATTACAAATGATTTATTATTAGATTGGTGTTTTCAATAAAAAAATTTTCCTGATAAAATTTCCGTAAAGGTTGTTATAAAATATTTCAATAACGCTTTTTTTCATGTTTATATATTTTTTAAAATTTTTTCTTCATTTTTGCAAATAAATCATTGTAAATTGTTTTAACATGGTTATCTGAAAAAATTTGTGATTACATTACAGTAATGTTTAAAATATGTTAAACATTAATGCCTATAAGTTTTTTACCGTTACAAATAGTATCTAAGTTTTAACACTTTTACTAAAGATTTTAACAATTTTATGTCCTAAATGACATGCAGAAACTGCACTCAACAGAGATGATTCCGAGTACAACAACACAATACAATATAAAAACAAAACGAGAAATACACAAGGATAATATGTATCGAGGAAAATCCACTGTCTTATAATGACGTTCTTTCCATACATTCTTGAACCTTGTATTTATTTTTAGCAATTTTATATAACTCATTCATTGAAGTAACTCCAGTCTTTTTTACCAAGTTATAAAAAGTACCATTCACATTCTTTAGTAATTTATATGGCATGTCGAATTCTTGAAGTTTTCCATTATCTAAAACCTAAAAGTTTCAAATGTTTAAGAAAACAAACTTTTCTATTATGTAATAAACAAAATAAACTTACCAGTACTCTGTCCGAATCGATAATTGTATGTAATCTATGGGCTATTGTCAACACGGTACACGATTTGAATTTCTCTCGAATTATTTTTTGTATGCAGGAATCAGTGCTTGATATGAAATAGATAAAAAGAATACGTTACGAATATACATATCTGTATCATCAAAACACAAAAAATACTTATAATATGACTATCAAAGTTCGATACAACTGCTACTAAATGTATTCATTAAGTATAGCTGATATTAAAGAAGTATAAAATTTTTACTGAATGTAAAATGGGTTATATTAAATTAACTTTGCAGAAATAAATACGTTATAAGTTCATGAAAAAAATTTTAAAGGTAAATATTTTCCACGGAAAACTGGTTTGTAAATTGATTTTAGTCACTGCACAAAACTAGCAGATTAACTGGGCAACTGATTGGTGAATTAAAAGCCTGCAAATATCTACCAATATTCATTGGTTTTAATTATTCGGCTACAAGTAAGAGCACATGAAATGTTTTAGTTGCAGTTCACATATCCAGTAGAGTTGCTAGATTTATAAACTGGAACTACAACGTTTGTGCATGTATTTCACTTCAGTTCTACTCTTGCTTGTCCAGTCATCTAGTTATGAGTGTACACAACTATTACAGAACATTGGTGAAAATATTGTACACGATTACAGTAGAGCGTCGTTTATCCGAAGGTCGGTTATCCGAAACGTCGGTTATCCGAAGGAATTCCAGTCGACAAATTTAAATTTTCGCCAGTGCTGTGGCGCTGTAATCTTTGGCTATGTCTTCGGCTACGCAAATATTTTACGTTTTTGATACTGAATTCACTTCTGAAGTATAATTTTTCATGTTTTTATATTTTTCAATATATTTATTTTGTTCATACAAAATAAAAAAATAATTTTTAACGATACAATAGTCTACGTTAGGCTTAACATCGACGAAAATTCAACGCGAAGCGACATGCAACGGAGAAAAATTTCAACACGGGATAAATTAATATATTTTTTCGTACGTAATTGGTTATCCGAAAAATAAGTTATCCGAACAACCCCAGGCCCCAATTGATTCGGATAAACGACGCTATACTGTAATTTAAAACTATAACCGTTCTGTGATAGCTTTCCAAACCTATAGTTTATTTTCATCGAGGACAATTAACTGTATTTAATATAACCAAAGACATAACTCAATTATATTTTTTGTTATATCGGGTATATATTTCAACAATTTTAATTGTTCTAATACGAAGATAAATCTCAATTTTAATACCATAGAATCCTTTAGGACATATTATCACTTCCTGAAAAATATGATTCATTGATTTTCAATAAACTGGCAGCAGATTTCAAAAATTCCATGGCTAGAAAGAATTCTGAAACAAACTCATATAATATTAACTACTTCAAAGAATAATTTAAACAGGTTAGACAGAATGGTCAACAAGATAAACAATACCTTGTTTATCTTGTTCACCATTCTGTCTAACCTGTTTAAATCCACCAGTCTTAAGTAAAATAGAAGAAACAAACTTTTGCCAACATGAACTGCATGCTCAGATTTATAAAAAATCCCTTTAAGTGGCATGATTAAACTTTGAGCCAGATAAATGCTGTATCATCGTTCATAATCTGTCATAAAAAAGTCAGTGTTGTCCATTAGCGGCCGCGACATATGTTTCGACGCATGCACTGCCCCGATCGATTTTTTGTTTCAAGATTTATAAGACAGTACACCAAATGTATCATGTGGACTCAGGGGAATCGACCCGAGTCTATGTCTGACAAAGTTTTAAGGTCTGTTTATTTTTCTTTTATGGATATTTTTCGTTTATAGAAATCACACCATTATCTGAACTCTAAATAGTCTGAACTCTAAATAGTTTCCGCTTCATAACAAAGTCTATTATGATGTACTATGCTGTAGTGTAAATACTTCATGACTTTGTAATGAAGTATTTACACTACAGCATAGTAATTACACATGTAAAATTTATCTTTTATTTAATTAATGAACAATAGTATTTTTGAATTTTGTACAGACATAAACGATAAGTGTTTCTATAAAAATAGTGAACACAGGAAATGGATATAGTAACACCAGTGTAATATCTGTAAAATACATTTTCAAGAAGTGTTACTTCAAGCATTTCACATATGGTACTTATATTTACTACATGTAAAGGATATACACGTATCATATGTACAACACCAAACACACGATGTCAAGAAATAAACAATTGACAGAATTTGAGTATATTCATTTTACGATGCAGAGTTATCTGGTAACAAAGTAGCTAAATGTAAAAGTATTCTGCAGTCTGATATTATATCTATTTGACAAATCCTACAAACTATGATAAGACAGAATGAACAGAGTGACTTACTTCAGTACTCTACGAGGAAACTGTCTCATTGCATGCAGCGAAGGGAACTGGAGAACAATCTAACACGATCAGACAAATTCTTACCAAAATGATTCCCAAACGTTCTTCTACTAACAAAAACATTTCTTAAGACAAGAACATACCTCTGAGACTCTAAAATTAAATCCAGGCAAAGAAATATCCCAGAAATTTTTAAGGTACTGTATTGTCTTTCAAATATGGGAAGCCTATTTCCTTATCAATCAGATATTTCTTTTGTATTCTGAACAAACCTACAATGGTTACGATTAGATAAGCGTTCTTAGAGCCGATGGATTTAAAAAAATAATAATAATATTTCCTTCTAACATACGTTTATAAGATAGAATGTAAATTTTATTTGTAAATAATATTTTTCTGGTTAAAGAATTACATAACTATATAAAGAAAAGGATACAGCCAAATAAAATATNCCTCTAGTGTCCGTTATGAAACAGTTACGGGACGGACAGGAAATGAATGGGTTATATATATAGATTATGCTGTATATCTATTTGACAAATCCTACAAACTATGGTAAGGCAGAATGGGCAGACCGACTTAACTTCAGTACTCTACGAGGAAACTGTCTTATTGCATCCAGGGAACTGGAGAACAATCTAACACGATCAGACAAATTCTTACCAAAATGATTCGCAAACTTTCTGCTAACAAGAACATTTCTTAAGACAAGAACATACCTTTGAGACTCTAAAATTAAATCCAGGCAAAGAAATATCCCAGAAATTTTTAAGGTATTGTCTTTCAAATATGGGAAGCCCATTTCCTTATCAATCAGGTATTTCTTTTATATTCTGAACAAACCTACAATGGTTACGATTAGATAAGCGTTCTTAGAGCCGATGGATTAAAAAAAAAAAAAAAAAAAACATAATATTTCCTTCTAACTTACGTTTATAAGATAGAATGTAAATTTTATTTGAAAATAATATTTTTCAGGTTAAAGAATTACATAACTATATAAAGAAAAGGGTACATGCCAAGTAAAATATTGTATGATTAAATGTTGTCTATAAACTTATTACAGATGATGTTAATCTTAAATATGGGTGTATTCATAACAAATAAATTAAATTTTTGTACCTGTTTTCATAAACAAAATGAAGACATTCGATTAAAATAATTTTTTCTTTCTTCGTTTCAGCACTGTTCTCCTGATAGCTTAAGCTCAACTGCTCAAGTCACGAATCTACAAACAACCAAAAACTGAGAGCTTTTGCGCATATCATACAGAAAGAAACAAGTGAAAGAAACAAATAAACATATAGAAACGCATTCCAGACGATAGCACGAACAAGATGAAACTTCAACAGTTTATGTTCAAAGAGCAGAACACCGATGTAATGTAAATAAATCGCTTATTTACAATCATATTTCATGTCACAATAAAATCAATAGTAAATCAAAATAATGATTCTTTAAAGTTCGTTTTGCCACATGGACACCAATAGGACCTTTCTTTAAAATCCAGATCCAAAATGAAAACAAACAAATAGTAAGAAAGGAGGTTTGAATTTTTTGGTTTTAACACACTGTGTATAGAATATATCTGAAGGTTCGTTCGGTTTCGATTCCACATCCCGAACCGTTCTTTTATTGTAACACTATCTGCCCTGTGGGCACTAAGAAGGCGTCTTTTAGCAATATCATTAAGGGTTCGACCAGATCCACAATGGGGCGACCGGGTGGTGAGGGGCAAGGGCCGATATATCCGGTCAAACCACCCTCGAAAAATTCCTGGAGATTTTTTGATCCGTCCTGATTTGATCCGTTTCCCCATAGCAGTAGGCTGCCATCTTAACCGCTCGGCCATCCGGTCATCCGTATCGTTACGTAAAAGTGTTAACCAGTCAATCAATTGATCATTTTTGTATCGCCTTAACTTCAATGTAATTATCATGCATATTGAAAATTGAACCCATGTGAACTTCAACCATACAAGCCTACTATATTGTCAATCATCATTTCCGAAATGGAAACTAATGCAGTATGATATGGTACAAAAATATTGATGCTTAATTTAAACGAACTTTTTACGATTTATTTAGAAACTCGTAATTTTTCAACTGTCTATAAAATAAGCTAATATTTGATTGACAAAAACAATTTTAATGTTTCAAACTGAAATAGTGTGATTAACGAAAATATCAAATACTTTCGAAAAACGTATAACAATTGTGTACACAACAGAAACCATACAATTAACTAATTTTACTTAAAACTAAATAATACTTAAAATTTGTTGTATTCTAACTTTTTATCTATATTGGATGTTGCTTCATCCATGACGAGAATTTTATTCTGGCGAAGAATCGTTCTGGCAAGACAAATTAACTGTCTTTCTCCTACGCTAAAATTTCGTCCTCCTTCTGATAAATGTGTATCCAGTCCCCAAGGCAACGAACTGATAACTTCTTTTAATTGCACCTTTAGTTGAGATTATTTAAAATAAATAGATAATAATTAACTTTAGCCATTAAAAGAAATTAAACAGATATATAAGGGTAGTATATAGTATATATAGTAGATGAAAACAATTATATGTTTCTAACCTCTTCTATAGCTTGCCATAGAATTTCTTCTGAATATTCATTAAAAGGATCGATATTTCTTCGAAGTGGACCGGTAAATAACATTGGATCCTAAAAAATACACATGCTATTTTATTCGTTTTACGAATTTTTTTGAAATTGTTTGTATTATAATTACAATAGTGGTAAATATAAAAATTTCCTTCTTTTATTAATTACAGTATTTTAAAAGATTCGCCATGCGTGTACCTTTAGTGAATTATCCATATTGTATTCAACGCTTTTGACTTATTTTATTAACATATTTTGGGTCAATTTTAATTTCTACAGATTCAAACTCACTGTCAATAAATTAGTCAATTTATATAGATTTTTTTTAAAATTCAATTTGCTATTTAACTTCTAATAAAGTAAATGTTTGTTAAGCGATGGGATAAAAGGAGTTCTATCTGTTCATGCTGCTCAATACTTACGATTCGTGAACACGCTGTCTTTAATCACTTCGAAATTCATGATGTTTAGAGCACTACATATCGAAAAAGAAATTTCGATATAGTAAATATTTGCATGGCAATTATTGTTATTATACTTTAAACATTTCGTGTACATTTTTAGACACACGAACGCATGCATTCTTTGCTACAGTTGTCATGACACAAGGAAAATCATCCATCACAAATTAACTCTTTGCTAGTTGCATGGCATCACATAGAAGTCATGCAACTTTTCCTCAATTCTTCTGGATTTTTCATAAATTTTTGAATACATCTGAAGAGAACAATACCTTCCTAGCATTTTGAATAATAAAAAATGCTACGAATATAGATTGTATTGGGGTCCTAATTTTGATGTAAAACATAAGTTTATATTTGCGTCACACGTGCCATATGACATAATGAATTTGAATGAATTGCAATGAATTTTAAGCCTCACNTAGTAGATGAAAACAATTATATGTTTCTAACCTCTTCTATAGCTTGCCATAGAATTTCTTCTGAATATTCATTAAAAGGATCGATATTTCTTCGAAGTGGACCGGTAAATAACATTGGATCCTAAAAAATACACATGCTATTTTATTCGTTTTACGAATTTTTTTGAAATTGTTTGTATTATAATTACAATAGTGGTAAATATAAAAATTTCCTTCTTTTATTAATTACAGTATTTTAAAAGATTCGCCATGCGTGTACCTTTAGTGAATTATCCATATTGTATTCAACGCTTTTGACTTATTTTATTAACATATTTTGGGTCAATTTTAATTTCTACAGATTCAAACTCACTGTCAATAAATTAGTCAATTTATATAGATTTTTTTTAAAATTCAATTTGCTATTTAACTTCTAATAAAGTAAATGTTTGTTAAGCGATGGGATAAAAGGAGTTCTATCTGTTCATGCTGCTCAATACTTACGATTCGTGAACACGCTGTCTTTAATCACTTCGAAATTCATGATGTTTAGAGCACTACATATCGAAAAAGAAATTTCGATATAGTAAATATTTGCATGGCAATTATTGTTATTATACTTTAAACATTTCGTGTACATTTTTAGACACACGAACGCATGCATTCTTTGCTACAGTTGTCATGACACAAGGAAAATCATCCATCACAAATTAACTCTTTGCTAGTTGCATGGCATCACATAGAAGTCATGCAACTTTTCCTCAATTCTTCTGGATTTTTCATAAATTTTTGAATACATCTGAAGAGAACAATACCTTCCTAGCATTTTGAATAATAAAAAATGCTACGAATATAGATTGTATTGGGGTCCTAATTTTGATGTAAAACATAAGTTTATATTTGCGTCACACGTGCCATATGACATAATGAATTTGAATGAATTGCAATGAATTTTAAGCCTCACATTTGATTACATTGATTTGTCAAAACATTAATGTTAAATGAGTATATATTTACAATAATACTATTTATTATATTCTTTGCTCTTCCTTATTCTATGGACCAATTTGAATTTTATTCCAATGAGCGAATATGTTTATTTTCGACAAAGTGATTTTCGTGCTAAGGCGTTGTTGTGTCAAGATGTTGCTATTTCAACATGAAAAAAATTGGCAATTTGAATATCAGCTGTGGAATATCTCATTAAGTTTTGTATTTTTTAATCTTACTTAAAAAATTAAATTTTTATATAATAAATCGAAGAACGCATACTTGAGGAATGATAGATATTTTACTACGTAGATCCCGAAGACCAATATCTTTGGTGTCAATTCCGTCAATGGTTATTGTTCCTGTTGGCTCTGTCATGCGAAATAACGAAGCAATTATAGAGCTTTTTCCAGCTCCTGTTCTTCCAACAATTCCTATCTGCAATTAATAAATATTAGAAATAATTTCAGACAATAATTTTCAGCAACACTCATTCCATTTCGAGAATATTTTACCTTTTCTCCCGAGTGAATTCGAAAAGATAAATTCTTCAAAACAATATTTTTGTCCTTGGAATATTGTAAAGAAACATCATCAAAATCAATTTTTCCCTTTTGTGGCCAATCCGAAGGTGGCCGTTTATCAGGTAAACTTTCGTACGATGCTTCTGATTTTAATTTGCTGTAGTTTAGTATACGTTTTACAGAATTCATCTGGAAAATTAATATGCATAAAACTTATTCAAGTAACAATATGTATTATCAACAGTTATAAAAGATGTATAGAATTTCATAAGACTTATAACAGATTTTTATATGAAGATACACAAGTACATGATTTGTATTTAGTTCTTTCATCTTTTTATATGATTTTTTATTCTTTTTGACCCACTGTAATTTCTGCGGTACTGATATACTTTTAAATTTATTTCCTTTTCTTAAAATATGTATTCTTGAATTATAAAATTTATAATTTTTTAAAAGTTAAAAGATTTTCATTGTTTTGATTACTTGTCGTTAAATAGAAAACACTTTGCTTACATTATTATGTAAAACGAAATGTAATTTAGTAAAATATAAAGTGATATTAATAATTATTTTTCACTTATGACTTTAAATATGAAATATTTCAGTATTTTTAATCCATATTTCTAAAATTTGAAGTTTCAATGAAATTTTCAAACCAATTATAAAATAATTATTTACTGAAATTTCAATTTTGTTGATATGAAAATATATTATTTTTCTCAAGAATATTATGTATTTACTACATGTCTAACTCCATTTTACAATAAATTACATCTGAAATATGGAAAGTGTGGAATATATTCTAATAAGAAGATCCTTCCTTTAATCTGGTTATCTGTTTCTGCAAATTTTATATGAATTGATAAATCAATCAGGCTGTCATTTAATTCACTTTTAGGCAAACCGCCGATGGTAACTAAGCCAAGCCTAAATATCTGATAAATACTCTTTCTAATTTTCTTGCACGTAACATGATAAAATATTTTATTTTTTATAACAAAATTACTTTTAATTATAAAATAAATATAACATTAACACATATATAATTCGAGATAGTAACTTGAGGATTTGTAGTAAAAATTGTTTAAAAAATTATAAAACAGTAATAAAACAGATTTAGGCATAAAAAATAACTTTCACACAGAATATAAAAACTGAAAACAAAGTGTTATTGTATTTTTGCAGTTTCGGAATCACAGTTTTTTTCATTTAAGTATATGAAAACAAAGGTATTTGATTGATTTTTGCCAAAAACGTTTTGGTCACAGCAGTTCACACGGGTTTCCAATGCTGAACACAAACGTAATTAGTACAAATACAGTAGACCCCCTATAACGCGGGTTCATATAATGCGGATTCGTATATCGCGGCGAAAAAATTGCGACTGTATTCGTATAAAGACGCTAAAAGAGACTCGTAAAATGCGGTAAAACGTCATCGCCGACTTGTGTCGCGACAGGATTGGTCGAATCTGGACCAATAGTGGACGTTCAGCTGAACTACTTACAAGCTACGGAGAATTTAGGCGGGTAAGTTGAGTTTACTATCATCTGTACAGTATATAAATTAGGTACTGTAAGTCTAATACAGTACTGTAATTTTATACATTTCTTGTGAAAAAAAACATTTTTTATTCAACGCCTTAAAAATTATTTCTATTAATGATGTCTCCAAAGTTCAGCGAGTTTTTCGCAGAAAAATAACTTATTAGGAAACACGTGCCCGCCGTTCGATGCGCCGCTCCGCGACGAAAACAAGCTTAAGCAATGACGTCGTCGAACGGTGCACACTCGGTAAGTAATCCTACAATTTTTTGTTTATAGCATAGTTTATACAGATTATTCCCAAAAAATTATACGTGTTTTGGAAATGTTGAGTCAAATCGGTCTAGAATCGATTAATTTTATGGAAGAAAACCTTTCAAACAGCCGTAGTCCATAAACTGCACACGTGCCAGGCTGTGATTGGCTCATGTATTTAAGGTTTCCTACAACACGAAATTCTTATAAAGTGGAACGTATATACCGCGTTATAGGGGGGGTCGACTGTATGTTAGGGAACAAATAAGTGACCTTGTTTTCGCTACAACGAAAAATATACATTTTTCATTACATTTTACAATCTAATTAAAATTTATACAACCAACTAGAATTGATATAATATTCGCATATAATCATAATAATAGTTACAATTGTATCTGCATGTATCTGGAAAAAATGTGCAGCTGTATTCAATGACTGCAAACTACATCAATGCAGTTGTGCATAATTACATTACACCTAGAAGGCTTCTGCTTTCAAGCATAATGCTAAAATGGTGGATTTGAGGAAGGACTCCCCTTCACGTAACTTCCCAGAGGAGACAGGAAAAAATAACCGGCATTTCTATATTATAACTGGACTTGACAGAAAGTTTAATAATGGATACATTATCGGGTTAGTTGTTCTTACATTACCTGAAAGTTCACTTCAGATGAAGTTCTAATAACGCTTTGAAAATAAATTACAAATAGTATTCCATAGTTCATTACAAGTCCAATTTGGCTTCCTGCATCATCTAAAGTTCCAATTATAAATTCAAAATTACATATAGTATACACTATACACAACTACAGTCAACCCCCTTATAACACTGTTGATAATTCCGTTTTATATGAATTCCATGTTGTACGATTCACTTAAATTTTACAAATATGTGTGCCGGGCTGTGAACGGCTCAACAGTGTCATAGGTGGAATTATTAACAGGGAATTATAGGGGGGTCGACTGTAAATGTATATACTCACCTGAATGAACTGATACACTAAAAATAATAACAGTAATAAGGAAATTTACGTAACAAATGATGTGACCATATATAGAAAGACAACGATTTAATGCAATGTAAATAATCCACGTTGCAGTGTGTTTATCCTGATACTCATTAAAGGTGGATAAAAATTTATCTTCAGCTTTAAATGCTCTAATGGTTGTCAGTCCATAAAGAGATACACTCAGATGAGAAAATACTGGACTTCTTGCTGTTAAAAGAAATTCTATATGAAATTAATTATTTGAGCAAAACCTTATTAAATATAATAACTGTTTGCGTATTGTATTTAAGAAAGCAAATAAAAAACAATTCTCATCTAATAGATATATAAAGCCGACATGCAAAGATTTTAAAATTTATATTTCTAACTTTTAAAATAATGCTTACATAAATTAATGTACATTTCATAATTTCGTATATAAAATTTTGTATATTATACACATGCGTGCATACATTATATATATATATAACCATATGTTTCAGAAGCAACCAATTATGCTTGTAGCATAACACAAACAGAACATTGTAGTCTTCATGCAAAAAGAAGCATTTTAAAAACAAAAGCTAAATTTCTAAATTTAGTCAAGCCAAAAACAAAACAAAGATTTAATCACGCTTTTAAATTTTTGCAGAAGAAATTTGCAATAAATTATCTCGTCGTTTTTTGTGTGCACATGTCGCACAGCAATTGCTTATTATAATTTTAACTTTCATTATGAGCTTTGTCAACAAAAAAGTACATTTACGATAAAGCGCTTATTGAAGCTGGTGAAAAGCTTTTGTTAGAGTTAGACTAGATGTAATTTGTCTTTCACAGTAATATGCACACTGTATTGACTGAAATCGTGTTACACGTGACGAATATCTTTGTACTAAAAGATGTCATTTACAAGTTCGTGCGCCGGGTTTATTGTCCAATAAAAATAAGCACGTATAACAACTGAGAAAAATGTCAGAAAGTTTCGGAAACCGCTACAGTTTTCTAATTCTTCCTGCAGTAATGCAATCGTTTTCAAAAATGATACTAAGAACAGCATTAACCAACTATTGTTGTGGACTGGTGTTTTCTACAAGTATTGGGGTATTTTTTTCTTAAAACAATAATAATATTTTAAATCGTAAACTGATCACATGGAGTGAAAATTTAAAAATTGTATGTTGTATATCATTCGCAGTATATTGACGATTTGACAATGTCTATTGAATACAAAAATGAAGGGATTTGTACAAAAAGTATGAAAAGTAAATGGAAATAAATGTAAAGTTAGACAAATTGAAACTTTTTACATTTTTCGAAAAATTCACGATTTTCACACTTATGGAAAATATAATTTCGTTTGTCGTCATCACTTCCCTATTTTGGGGAAACTTTCATCTTAAATTTCAAACACTTCAGCATAACTTACGAGAACTATAACAAAAATTTCGCTTAACATTCAGCAAAGGTGCTCAAATATGTTCCCGGCCCAAACGCGGCCCGCGAACATATTTGACAAATCACTTGAAAGAAACAATAGAATGAATAACATGTGTAAATGATAATTTACATATACTACACATACTTGTAGTATATGTAAAATATCCAAAATGTTTGTGGCCCGCCTACTTAACGACTTATGTGCAATTTGGGTCACCACGCAAAAAGTTTGTTTTAGGCCGAGACTCCACTAGCGTAAAAACAGGCGTAAAAACCTTCGCCATAAAAACTTTTAATAACGTGACCTATTTGTGTTTGCGTCTGGATTGCAGTGGAGGTACGGTACGGTTAGTGAAGTTTTTACGGCGACGGTACTATCGAAGTTATAAAGACAACGATTATATTCTACAAGTTTTTCTGTACTATATAAATGTAGTAAAAATAATATATTTACTTTCATATATTAACTTTTATTATCGTATTATTAATTAAGATAATATACAGCACTTATATGCTTAGCTTTTTTTATTATATAATCCTCTAAATTAAAGGAATTTTCTTTGGCCGTCCATATCGCGTTTTTTAGGCATCTATTATTATAATCGGGATACTTCTTGTCGTAGATACAACTCAACTCAATACTTTATTGCTGTACAAAAGAAGTACGACACTGATACCGCATATAGCACAATCGGTTGTCGTAGATACACGAATACTTTCAAATGTTTTCGATAAATCTTTCCAGATCTATTCTAGAGTAGCAACGAGACAACGTACACAAAAGGTCGTTTTCCGCCGTTTTCGCACCGTGTCAAAATGACCTAGATTTCACTCACTTCTGATTGGTGGATGGTACCGTTTCACGGCGGTATTCGCGTGGAAAGTTGAACACCGCTCAACTCGCTTCTACCCTGGTTTTACGAGCTGCTCAGGCGTAAAATATCAGGGTCACGTGATTAAAAGCTTACTGCGAGGGTTTTTACGTCCGTCTTTACGCTAGTGGAGTCTTGGCCTTACATAACAAAGAGTTTCTGCGTAATTGCTTTCGGTAATAAATATCTTTACTGTTAAAATTAAATGCACTCGAACTCTATAGTATGCTCACAAAACGTAAAGTAACGAGTTGTGAAAAAGTTTTATGCTATTCACTTAAATACAATAAACTATTCAGAATTCTATACACTCACATTTTCCTTCCATGAGTTTAATGCTTTTCAGAACACGGCTGTGAATCTTCCACATAAAATAGAATAACATTGAAAGCACAAATGTCAATATGAGAACATAAGGGCAGAAAATTGCTTGAAGAACACAGATGCCAGCGATCAGAGACAATCCCTAAAATATAAAAATATAAATTGCTAGTAAATGGAAACTTATCTGTCATTAATTACTTCAATTATTTCACTTTTATTTCACTCATTTCAACACGCGACAAGTCCATCATTATTCACATATTACAGGTAATTTAGAAGTTTCTCACAAAGAATTTCTTATAATACAATAAAAACGAATTTTTTATACAATAACTTATTTACTTAATTAACACTAGAACTAAGGACAACAATCATTATGTATGCTATTAAGTTTTTTCTCATTTGCCAAATTGAATTTTGTCAGAGGAAGCTAAAATATTTTTTACTTTTTTTGAATTTGAATGTTTTACACGACCACCAAATTCTATATTCGTAAACTGAAACTGTCCTGAGATACGAAGTATAAACGTCTTTACTTACAACCGAAGAAAAAAGCTATTTTAAACGCTGATCTATTCCGTTACTTTATATTACTGTTTTTTGTTTTTATACTTTGCTTTACGTATATATTTACGATTTGTAAATATTAACATCCTGATATAAATATTGCTAGTTTTGTTTGCCTTTTCTGTGTCTTTTATCAGAACAAGTGTTCGCTACAGTTTCCTATCGTTAGAATTAATCACGTAATATATTCGGAAAAAATAATAGATTTGTTTATTTTCTGCTTAATGAAGCTAAAATTGCAAGTACTGTATATTAGCAAAAATTTCGAAACGTGAATCGTAGGATAAATACAGATGAAATTTATATCTAATCCAACAAAATCGGTGCTTAACTGGATTGCGATGAAATCTATTGTGATAAAGAACGGCATTTGACTTTGTTTAATTAATCTCTCACAAACGAACCAGCGTCAGTCTCTCTACAAAGACGTATAACGAACAATTTAATTTTTTAAGTATGCTGATTGTTAAAGCTATAACAGATAAATAAAGGTAGTATTATGGAACACTGCGGGTATTATGGAACCACTCCATTTCCAACTGATAATAAAGGCGAACTGCAGCGGATTGTGGCTGAACTGCACTAAGCAGACATCCATAGCAAGGGGAAAACCCTTCCCCTTCCTATGGATGTCTTCCAAATTTTGCGACTAGGGGCGCTGCTGTCGTTTGCATTTGGTCGGGCGTAGTCGCTTTACGCGTTACCTCATTTGCATAGCTGTAGCTCTCTCCGTTTGCAAGAATTTCTCGGTTAAAGGGACTTTCCTATGCATCCTGTATCTACAGGTACTCTCATGTTAGGCAGTAAGGATAATATTTTAATGGTATAGTTTGCAGCGCTTGCTCTTTTATTCTGCGAATTTTGTATAGTTTTTCCAAATTCAATGAGAAAATCCTTTCAATCTTGAATTTCCTGCTGTAATATTGTCTGCTGTAAAATTGTGCTATAATATTCTACAAAGCTACTTGTGGTACAGTACAGTACAATTACGATATAAACTCTGTTTCAAATTATGAAAAGCACACATTGAAATATATCGATATCAAGTTTAAATAAAAATATCTTTTTACAGTAAATCCTTGCAAACTTAACTAAAAGAGGATGAAGCCTGAGTTATATAATGTTCCAGTTAGCAATATTTTTTACAATAGTAATTTTTAAATATCTAATACAATCCACTCTACACAGAAGTTTACTGATCCGTATACTGCTTAAACACATGAAATGAACTAATAAATTTTGAAAATTTCGTATACAGTATTATACATTTTTTATCATCCTATCTACTACAATAATATAATGAACAGTATTGCGGTTTTTCATATATCGAAAATGCATTACTTATGACTTTTTAATGCCAAAATATTTAAATTTTTTTTTTTCAAAACAATTTGACTGAGTTGTGCAAAATCTGAGTTAAAATGGGATTTACTGCATATAGATTATTTTATGGTTATAAGAAATAGTTTGACTTTTATAGAAGTAATATCAAAGTATATTTGACTTTTTCCACCCTATTGACAATAAGAGGACCTTTCTTATTCAGTCTATGCTGAAAATCCTTCAGATTTATTGATCTTGCTGGAATTAATCTCAGGTTTCTGAAGAGATTTAGTTTGATACTGTAACTGGCTCAGCTCTCAATCAAAATATCTGTATGTGACAAACATATTATGATAACTATTTTACAAATATTCGCATACACATTCAAAAAATGTTTCATTAATAAGTTATGTTTGGTTCGTACATTGACTATGTAGCACTGATCAGGTTGAAAAATGTATACGCTCTGTGAACACAATTGTACTACATCATTAAGAATTAGCACTGTCATGAGTTCACATTACGCGTGAAGAGACAGCTGCAATATATTGGTTTTCATTCAAACATACTGCAAATGTGGAAGCGGTCATTTATTTTGCATACTAATAGTTCAAAGTTGCATGCTAATAATGAAAAGCCAACTGAAATTCGTGAAAAGTAAACGAAAAAGTAACGAAAATAAATTACCTTAAAACAATTTGATTCCAAAAAAACTAGACAAATGTCAAGCTTCAGAAACGAACAGATTTTTGTCATCAACATTCCAATCTATTCATGATTATTTACAATTTGCGTTTGTTCGAGTAAAAAAGTCGATACCGATGGCAAAGTTTAAGAAGTAAAGCAATATTGAGAAATATGGAGTACACTGTACTTATTAAAAGATTATTAATAGTTGGACTAAATAGGTTAATTGGAAGTCATTAGGATAAAAAGTAGCATATATTGCATGCGTTATTTGTGGCAATTTATGTTGCTGTTAAAAATAATTTTTTTGTGTAATTCATAAATACACGTTAGTAACCGCATACCCCACATACCTGTTTATTTTTTAAATTTATTTTACATAAATTTAAATATACAAAATTATATAAACTTACTTTCAACACAACGTGAACATTGTTAGGTAGAAGGTCATCTACGTTATTCATATCTTTGGAAAACCGATTTAGAATTTTTCCTAGAAAATATCAGAATAATAAATATTATTTGAATTAAAAACTTATGTAAAATATACTTATTCCATTATCATTATTATTTATAAGACACCGCATGTATCATCAACATAAACAGTTCTCAGATTGAAATGCTCTTGGTTTTCCATCCCTAAAGTTTTTCTAAGATGTACTGTACATATTTATCTTTTCAAAGGGTATGAATAGAGCAATTTAATATATTACAGCTGTTATTATGTAAATATGCTCACGAAAACGAAATGCAGTAGAAAGTTTGACATATGTTCTAAATACTATTTCACAAGATTTTAGTAGGAATGATTTGAAAAGTTCCTTTCTTCAACTTTCTCTGCTTCAATTCCCAATATCACTTGTATAAAACACTTCTTTACTAAAATTGTTAAAATTGTTTACTTTCTTATTCTGAATTTTTGTTGCTTTTAACTCAAATCTTTTTATTACTCTCTGTTTTTGCATACTACACCAGAAAAGAAATATGTAATGTGTATATTGTTTACAACCAAACTATATTCTTGGTGATCATGAAACAATATACAGTAGAGCGTCGATTTTCCGAAAGTCAATAATCCAAAACGTCAATCATCCGAAAGAATTCCAGTCCGCAAATTTAAATTTTCCCTAGTGCTGTGGCGCTTCAATCTTTGGCTATGTCTTGGGCTACTCAAATATTTTACGTTTTTGATACTAAATTAACATCTGAAGTATAATTTTTTATTATTTTTATATTTTTCAATATATTTATTTTGTTTGTACAAAATAAAAAAATAATTTTTAACGATACAATAGTCTTTGTTAGGCTTAACATCGACGAAAATTCAACGCGAAGCGACACGCAACGGAGAAAAATTTCGACATCGGATACGTTAAACTATTTTTAAGTACGTAAATCAGTTATCCGAAATATCAGTTATCCGGACAACCCCAGTTCCCAATTGATTCGGAAAATCGACGCTCTACTGTATTAAGCTTCTTACATCTTATATCTGTAATTTATTATTTATCACTCTATTAGTTGAGTGCTCAGCATTTTTTTTCAAAAGCGAAATTTTCAAAACATGCAATTTGCATCGTTTGTTTGTTTTTAGAATGAAGAATTTATAGGAAAATCAGTGAGTGATGTATTATCACGTGTCAAACATGATTAGCACAATTTGTCGAGGTATATAATAACTATATGTTTACAATTACAATAGGTATTATTCCTATTATACTATTATAAAAAACAGTACACCTGGGTCTGTCAACGCAAATAACGCAAAATTTAATTAACTATTTCCAGTATCTTATCAAAAACATATCACTGATCATTCTTTAACTTATTAAAGAACTAAATACATAATTTTACATACCAGCAGGATTGTTATCCAAAAATGAAATTGGAGTTCGAATAATACAACGGAACATATTCTTGTGCAGCGTCAAAGATGCAGCAATGAAAAAATTATACAATAATAATCCAGAAATTGTCATCGTAAAGAACACTGCACATATTAGTCCAAAGTAAACATATACATTGTATTCTTCACTATAATATAAATTTTCGTCTTCACTATTGTTAAATATTCTTGTCTGAAATGTTATATTTTCAACACTATTAACATTTTCTGTATAGATTCGTTCGTTCTGCAACCTGAAAATTAAACACGTAATAATAATTAATTTTCTGAGTTATCTAATATTCGTTCGACAAGCAGTAATACAATAATACTACTTAAATCCGTTGAATAAAAGTAATATCAATCAGTTCAATCAGTAATATTGAAATATATGGGTGGTCAATTGCTCAATCTTAAATGCATAAAATGACATTAATGCAAATTTAAGCTACATTCTTATAATTTCATCGTCGAATGTAGAAGTGTGAACATTTTTGCTATTTCTTACGTTGTGGCTGAAGCTTTTGCAGATGGATTTCACTGGAAACATTCGGCAATCTTAGCCATATTGAAATTCTGTGATTCCGCTTAAAAAGCACACATTGAAGTCTTTTCCTATAAAGTTTCAGCCAGAAACTAAATCATGTAATTCAGATAACTTTCTGTAATGTTCTTTTCTCATTTCTTATCCCAGATTATCTCGATAGGACCACTCACGCTCGCATTTCGATTTACAACTGGTTTCACAATATGCCAGCCTAAACCCCCAGAATTCTTATTGAAGTCAGTTCTTGTAGGTGAGACAGACAATAGAAAGATTGCGACAAAAGGGGTACAGGAAACCTATTCTGTACATAGATACAATTCGAGATGAACGTATTAAATGATATTCATTTCAACTCGTTAAACTTGTTCGATTACGCCTGAAACTTTTTATCATGCTGAAATAAATTTGACATAAATAATGTAATGTTTCTTCATTAAACTTGTATTTAAAAAACTGTTTACATGAATAAACTCATATCTACCATAAAAATAGCATACCATTTGACAAGCCAATAGTCGCTGACATTTGTAACGGATTGTGCTACAACTAGCATAATTAATAAGAACATCTTGAAGAGAAAACTTGCTCCAGCATTCAAATATTCTTTATAGACTGAAATTCCTATTGTTCCATCTTCTTCATCGTCACGTGGTATTTTCTTATTTTCATTTTCCTACAGGAAATATTTTTAGAATTATATAAAATATTCGTTGAATTATGTCTAAATCTATTTAAAATATTTTACAAATAAAAAATCCAACGTATCATTTATTCAAAAAAACTGAAAATTAGATGTGCTATTTTTGATTGATAATAAAATAAAGTATTCTCTTGAATATTTGTGAATTAAGTTATATGGTAATAGTATGGAAAAATAAAAACGAAAATAATAATAAAAAATTGTCACAATAAAATATAATCACTAACAATGAAAGAAAAAACACTGTCTAAGTATTTTTCAGTATAAATACAGAGAAGCCTCTGATCTCAAATTCTCTTGTCAAATCACTTCTTACTTTGAAATAAATTGTCGGTCATGGCAAACAGCCTGCATATTATAACATGATATTTACTTGTAAAATTCAATAAATTGTAATGTATCTGAATACCATACATCGTTAAGAGAAACTTAGGAGGTCCAAACCAACCTATTTACTTCCGGAATCTTATCTACTTGTTTTCAGATTAGGTAGTTTTAATGCAAGTAGAAAATGTGAAAATATCTGTCGTTCTTACTGGTCCAGTGGTATTTAATCTGCTTTACCAGACAACGTGCTTTCACAAATTAATCGAGCCATCAACATTATCTAACCTAGAAATTATAGGCGGTTGACCTTCTTTAATCTATGGTTTATTCTTGAGAGGTATCTTGTTCGGCAATCGAGTAATCATACGTCAACCAGAGCTAATATGTGTTCAAAATTCTGTACGTGATTCACTTTGTTCGAAAAGTAAATATTTTGAAAACTAAGGATTAATAACTGTATTTAATAGTTTAATTTGACGCGTGGCTAATTTGAATTATTTTAAATAGCTGCTACATAAAATCTGCTTCGAATACTTTTAATTTTAAAAGTATGAATTTTAACACTAGAGTATTTTAACACTTTTAGTAGTATTTTTTAAAGTATTTTAACACTAGAAGTTTAATTCTTGCAGAATTAAACTTCTAGTGTTAAAATACTACTCGAAATAATCAGGTCAATTAGAGAGATGAGACAATACTTTTAATTGAATGAAAGTATTTAATTGAAGTCACATTTCTGGAAAATTCCATTGAGAGTATTTGAATAAAAGTATTTATAAAATATTATTTAATTCGCGATTTTGAATAACGATTAATTGGACATATTGCATATTAAGCGGAGCAACGTTGACTATATGACTCCGATAAAAACAGAGTGGCATTTAGATCGTAAAATTTGAATTTAGTCAAATGTTCGTAGATTGCGTGAATGAACTGTGTGATTTTTTGAAATGTCAAATTGATGATCAAAACGACGGCACGTCTTACAGGTTAAGAGACATCTTTCGTTTCAACACTTACATAACCATCTTCTGCAACAGTTAAAACAGTGTTTGGATGTTTTATTATGACTAAAAAAACAACAACGAGTTGCTTAACTTTCCCGGAAACATTTAAAACTGCGGATATCGCGCCATTTGTCATGCTATTTTGTAATTGAAAATTTTTGATATTTTTAATTATTATAAAATGACGAAAAGTTTAATTTTGAGTCTCAAAATGCTAATAACCAGTAAAACAGGCATTATATAATAAAATGCGTATTAATAAGTATTATATCATTGGTTAACTCTCGAAATGATAGTTGTTCTTTAGTGTTTAAATTGAATATTGATATGTTAATGTATTATTCAATCAATCAGTTTATAATTTGATTGTAATAATTTATTCCTAAGGTCGAATAATTGTTTGTTTTAATTAGAAATTTAGAGAAAATTGTGTACAGAAGTTGAGAAATGAAAACTGCCAAATCTCATTTAATTTTCTTTAAAAATATTTACTCAGATAACTGTCTAATACATAAATAATTCTTACCACATTAGTGTTGTTACTATCTTTAATATCATCAGAAATATTACTTTGAGTACTTTCAATTATTTTATCATCGTTGAAAAGCTCAGTTTTCAATTCCATCCTCTTTTCAGCGATTTCTTTATCAGACGAAATTCCTGTAAGCATTTCTAACTTTTCTATTGTATTGTAATTGTCAATGATTTCACAAGTTTCCTGAAATAAATTTATAATATATATAAATATAATAGTTTCTAAGACTTTAATATATAAACAAATGTGAAAAGGTGTAGAAATAAATATTTGGCTTCGAATAATTAATACTGTGTGCCTACGTAACGTATTTTTAACAAATTTACCAGTAGCAGATATTGAATTTTAAGTATATTAACCGGTGCATTGGTTAACTCGTGATGCAATCTCTATTTGCTATTTACTGCCATATACAGCATAGAGTACAAATATGGCAAACTGATCTGAAACTCAACAGTGTGTTAATAAATAAAAATAAGTGAACAGTAGTTTGTTCTTTATCAACAACATATGTACTGGAAGAACTTTCGATATTTTCTTTATCTATATGACTCTGAAATAAAAAACATTTTCCAAAGTCCAGTCTTAACGAGAAGAATTTTTGTTTAAAAAAAGCCTATGTATACAGTATATTGTCTATATATACTGATTGTAATGGAGGGCCGCACGTGTGTTCAACGAAACATGACCGTCCATCACTCATCCGTTTCGATCATCACTAAGACTGCACTTAACGGAATGCTGTAAACAAGATTTTGTTAGTTCCACGACTACACTTTAAACAGTAACAATATTTATTTACAAAACAAATCGTACGAGTACACTTAAGAGCTACACGTGCTCGGGCAGCGATCACCCGATAAGAAGAAACTCAATACCCAGAATTCTTTTTGGGAATAAACTAACGTCTCCGTTTTTGAGTACGAGACTCTCGGGGAGCTCCTAGAGGAGTGACGCCATCTCAGGAGTCCATGATGGTTGCCGCAATACTATACATACTGCCCATGTATTATATATGTTTCGTTATAGGTTTTTAAACAACACAATTAACTTCATAATTTTCTTCTGATTCTGAACCTTATGTCGTAAAATTTATGTGTGTTTAAAATAGAATGTATGTCATGTTTATTGAGAAAGTAATTAAAAACAAAACTAGTAAACAAATAGTATTATTACCTTATTTAACACTAAAATTTTACTTGCAGAGTTTAAAAATTGTACTTGGTGTGTAACTAAAATGCAAATCTTGTCTTTCAAATATTCCATTATACATCTGAAATGAATAAAAAGCGGAAATGTTTTCAACTATACCTTAGATAATACTTAAATACTTACTTTTCGAAGATATGTTTTGCGACTGGAACATCAACAGCACTTAGTGGATCATCAAACAGGAATATATCGGCATTCAAATATAATGCTCTAAAAATACATAAAAATGACATCACGGTAAAATAAACTAACTACAAAAAACAAGAAATATTGCCAAAGCATAAAAATCTACATTAAATTTTATGTTATCTTCTCATTTTTTGTATATACTGTATTTGCTTTCATTTTATACCTATATAACACTGTATAACAATCAGGTATAAAAAATTGTTAAATTGTGTAAGTTTATTGATTTTCATAAAAATATAATCAGAATCATACTTGTTTCATCATTTAACAAAGGTTTAGCAGGATATTTCATGAGCCGATAGTGAAGTAATGAGAAAAAATATCTATAACATAACACAATTTTAACCATAACTAAATTTTAATTATATCTATAACACAATTATCACATAATTTTTTACCACTGAGTCATAAAGTAAAAATGTAAAACATAATATTTGACAAGAAAGAAAAAATTCTGTTAATTAAACATAATAATGTGCTATTTTAAATTCTAAATTATTTACAATTCTTGCTTTATTGTACTCACACTAAAGTACAATTGAAACATTTTAAAATTTAGAAAACCTCACTGATTACTAATACAGACTAAGATAAATTTTTGGGAAATGGTTCTTATCACTAAACACTGATTAAATTTGAAAGCATATTTATAATGCATTTATAATCAGAGTATATATGTGTTTCTTATTTCATTCACGTTGTACTACTATAATTGAACTAAGAGAAACATTCAAGTGGAGTAAGAGTTATTTTACCTTCCTAGATTAATTCTCGCCTTTTGCCCACCGCTCATTATCACTCCTCTCTCACCCACAATAGTGAGATCTCCTTTAGGAAACAAGCTTATATCCTAAAATTAATAAATGTAAAAAATGCAAGATAATTATGTTCAATATAATATACACTGAGAACTTTTTTCACACTAAACACAACTTCAACAGATTTTTAAGTAAACGTTATAAAATTTAAATCAATTACAAGTATCATTAATCATTATACTGTATTTAAGATAAAAACTATATTGAATATATGCTGAGACCAGTGGACATGTTACTACTTAAACCAAGTGTCCACCATAAAACATATCAAGTAAAAATTTCTGTTTTGTTTTACAATGTAAAATTTTTAAATGATCGATCTACAGCAGCTATTTTATCACGTGTAATAAAGATTAAACTTGAAATTTACAAACCAAACAATTGTAGTAATTATAGGGTTGTTCATTATCATAATAAACAGTTAATATAAGCAATTTCTATTGACTTTTCACGATTTTTATCTAAAAGTCCCAACTGAGCTGTTTGATCAGATCAGTTAGACTTACGAAAGGACAGATGCTTAACACTCTGAAAACAAGCCTACAATCTGAACTTCTTAAGATTTCAGATCTGGACTGATATTACGGTCAACCAGAGCATAAACTGGACCATTTCTACTTTGGAAATCTAGCATGCATAATATGACAATATAGAAGTGTGATTTTGTACTTAATTAGCAGATCAAATACATTTTTATTGTCAAAGAAAAAAATACAATAATCATAAAAACAGAATTGGTCTGAATAACATTTAAAAAAACAATGCGAATCTAGCGTGAAATTTAAAATAAATAGAGAGGTTGAGGCGCACGTTTTAAACGTGTAAACGTGTACGTGTGACGTTCGGCGCCGCTTTCCCGTAAGCCTAAAAGTTTGACGATGATGTTTGGAATGTCGAGCGTGATTCCACCGACTATCCAAACACCATTGTCAAACTTTTAGGCTTACGGAAAAGCGGCGCCGAACGTCACACGTACACGTTTACACGTCTAAAACGTGCGCCTCAACCTCTCTAATATCTTGATTTAAAACTATTTTACAAAAGACCTTCAATACACGTTTAAAAACCCAAAAATTCTCAAACAAACTAAAAACCCTTAGAAAAACCGAACTATTATTCTAACAGATTAATATAGCATGTAAAAAGTTATTGTCGTTTAATTAGTAGTTGGTATCGAACAACTTTCCGTCTTCAATCAAGATAAGTAACTGAAATCGTGGCTAATAACAAGATAAAAACAACGTATTACCTTTTCTAGAGCAGTTATATGCAAAACTCTTCTGTATTTCTCTTCATCGTATTCTTCCCCAAACAAAATATTTTCTCTGATAGTTTCGTTGAATACCCAAGCCTCTTGAGAAGCATAAGCGATCTTGCCTTTCACTATCACTTCACCAGAAGTAACAGGAATCTCTCCCAAAATGGACATTAAAAAAGACGTCTAATCAAATTAATAATCGTTTCATTATTTGGAATGAAACACTATGTGTAATTAATATAAGCACGTAAGTACAGTATTTAAAACGTATTTACATGTTAATGTATTTAAATATTTCAATTATTAACTGCTTTTATTGTACAACGCATGTATTACAAAGCAGTAATATAACATACACATTCAATTGATAAATCAAAGATAACATTTATCCGTCATACAAATTTTATCATTTTATAGGAGTATATGAAAACTATATCAGAACAGAAGCTAAATTATACGTGCATAATATTTTAGTGCCAACGGTACAAATGATCATGAATGTGTGTTTCATCCTTTTCACAAAATAATCTGCCATTTTAGTATACAGACCAATCATTGAATGTCTGTACACAGAAACGGCAGATTGAATTAACCATTCAATACTATTAATAACAGTTTTAATTAACCGATGAACTGTTATTAATAGTATGAGTTGTTGATAAAATCGAATTTTATGTTAGATTTCCTCACGTAAATTTAACAAATTTTTAGCAAATAGCATTCTATTTCAGAACTGTTGCGTTGACAGTAACAACTTACTGGTTGAATTAGAACACAATGTAAAAATAATTAAAATAAATTATTATTAACATATGCTATTTGAAATTATACAATGAGAATAATTTCTGTGTTACTAGTTTAAAATAACAGTCTCAAAACGGAGAATAAAGTAGTAACAAAATATTTGTTTAATTATTTGGCATAAGAATCATTTGTAGATAAGTTACATTAACTAATTTTACGAAATGTAATTACAGTATATATGTGCCTACATCCAGTTGTAGGTGAAATTTAACTTGTTAAAATCGAGAAATGGAGGAAAAGTTAGACTCTATAACAGATTATGCACACAATAAATAATACAAAGAATTCTCCAGTTATTGTTTCTTTCTTCCTATATTATGTAACTAATTCTCGCTGTAACTAATCAAAAACATATAAAATTGTTTAAACATGACAATTAATTTAAAAATGAATTTTATTACAAATAGATAAATGCTTAAATTTTTACAATATTTTTATTAATTATTCTAAACAATCTTTATATCACAAAGCATGTAAATAATTTAAAATATATAAGTACAAATTAAGATATTTACCTTTCCTGATCCGACAGGACCTATAACAGTTAATAATTCTCCAGGTTGTACGTTTATAGATATATCATTCAATGTTGAGTTGGTTTCCTTTTGAAAATTGAAATGAAAATTGAAAGGTAAGTAAATTGTATATAAGTAATCTTATCTGTTATAAATTAGAAATAACATACCATAAATTAATTTATAATAACGTAAATATTATATTATTTAATAAAAAAGCTGATGATAATTTATAAATCTTAAAATTAGTGTGATGTTATTAAAGGTACACTATGTTATGAGAATTACTTGTACACTTGTAGTTCTGCAATCTGTCCTGTCTGTAAAATATAGCCGATAATCGAGCATTGTCCGACAAAAAATATACTGTGACTTTTTCCTGTTATCCCTCAGTTAATGCTGAAATGTGAGATACCAATGCAATTTTAAAATTTTTAAAAAAATCTGAAATCTGTTTTTTCCCCAATTTTTAGCCACGAAATCTCGGTACATGTGATTTGCACTGTATGACTATTCTATAAGCTGGAAAGTAATGAATTCCAACGGATGTCATTTCTTTTTCATGCATGCTCACATTAGAAAAATTTCATGATATAGGTACTTACGAGTCTTGCATGTTATCAACATGATTCGAAACTGGACCAATTCAAAATAAATAGGCCAAAAATGCCACTTTTATATTTTTTGCTTCTCCTTCATGCTTGGAACAACTTGAATTCAACTCAAATTACCTAATGTACTTATTTTAAACAACACGATTTTTCTCATCTCTGGTTGTTAACCTGGTCATCTGGTCTTTGCAAAGAAGCACGAGAAACAAATGTAATTGTTCTATGCTTTGTTACTGATTTAAACTGTTATTTTAAATAATATCCTTTGCATATGACGTCATGAGTAAGAAGTTTTCCTTAAATGAAGCTGCAGCGAGGTTTCTTTGGCATTAAATTCTCTCTACTCTATATAAAAAAGAATGTTGTACGAATGTAACCATTGGAAATCATTAAAACACTCATAATTTTGATGTTAGAACAAAGTTACTCATAGAATGTACATATGAAAAATCAAACTTTTCGAGGAACAGACGTCTTTGATTTCTTGCAAAATTACAGTTTTTTTTTAATAGTAAGAATTGAAATACTAATTTATGAATATATTTATATAGTGAGCTATTAATTATTATNATTTAAACTGTTATTTTAAATGATATCCTTTGCTTATGACGTCATGAGTAAGAAGTTTTCCTTAAATGAAGCTGCAGCGAGGTTTCTTTGGCATTATATTCGCTCTACTCTATATTAAAAAAAAAAGTTGTACAAATGAAACCATTGAAAATCATTAAAACACTCAAAATTTTGAAGTTACGACAAAGTTACTCATGGAATGTACATATGAAAAATCAAACTTTTCGAGGAACAGACGTCTTTGATTTCTTGCAAAATTACAGTTTTTTTTTAATAGTAAGAATTGAAATACTAATTTATGAATATATTTATATAGTGAGCTATTAATTATTATATCTGTATTTTTTTTTGTTAACTGCTAATTAATTATCTGGTGTCACATTAAAACATAATTTTAAAACATTGATCAAGTGATGACCAGTTATTTAACATAGGAATATTTAATAACTGTTAATACAGATATACAGATACTTTAAGTTTTTATACTGATAGAACAGCTGCGGCATTCATTTCAAAACTCATATTAATTGAAATTAAATTATGTCTTACTTTTTTCCATGTAGCTGTAACATTATTCATCCATATTCCATACTCGGTTAAATTTGCGCTCTCTTCTACAACTTCGAGAGTCCTGTTTTCTTTTTCTTGAAGGAGAAGGAAATCCTACATTAAAATTCAAAAAAATTTATAAGATGTATCACATCTATGTTTCCATAGTTTTAATAAATTTATGCACAAAGTAGGGTTTTTCATCAGGATGCAGTCATCCATACCGTTTTATTCTATATGTCATAATGAGAATCCTATAACTAATTGAATTTAAAACCTTTTCACATGACATATAAAAAATTATATATTAGTTATATTGCATTAGTTTATATTATAAATATATCAGAAGCAGTAAGACATTAGTTCAGTCATACAGGTTCTAATATGCCCAAGAAAAAGAGGATCAGCAGGAGAAGTTAAATAGAATGTCCGTTTACCAGGCCATGATATTGCATCACTCATGAAATTCATAAATCATTGTTATTCAGAGAGAAAGATGTCTATTATCAAGCGTCGTTAAAATTTAAAATATCACTCATAGAATGAAATAGATCCATAGAATGAAATGACCCATAGAATGAAATAGATCAGAGAATTGCATTATCATCTCTAATAAATAGTCTGTGCCAAATTTTACCAAAATTGTTCTTGGTGTAATATTCATTGTTAGTGTTATTAAGGACATTTTGAACCCTTCCTCCTTATGGATAATTAAATTAAAGTGTCACTATCGGAAGCCCATACAGAGGTCGGCAAGATGCCCAGGAAGGCAGATTGTTATAGGTGGAAAAATTGGCTGAAGAAAATAAAAATAATAAAATATTCTTAATTGCAGATGATCGATTCTTTTACTTTTTGAAAATAATAAAGTAATTAAATGTATGAGGTTCGATTAAAATCGTTCGAAATTACACTATGTATTTAAAAGAGGCGGCAAATAACTATCTTGCACGGAATGGCATAATTGCTGGGTTGGTCCATGACCCTCCATTACTTTGTAAATTCAGTCAGATCAATTTGAAAACCCCAGAATGATTACAACGGGGTCTTTGTCTCTAAAATGTTTAGCCTCATCCGTAACCACCTGCCATTCCAATCGTGGGTCTATCAAAACTCACGATGGGTATAACAAAAAAAAAAGTCTTAGTGGCTATGACTGAGGAAATGAAAAACTAATTTAATAAAATTTATAAAAAAATTATTACATATTAATATTTTTGAATAATTTCTAAATTAATATTTTAGTAATAAACCTTGAAAACAACAATTTTTTAAACTGTTCGTTACCTGAAGTCTCTTCAACGAAACCAAAACTTCTACAGTATAATTTATTGCATGTGTAAACAAATTAACAGTGCTAACGAAGATATACATAGAAACAGTCATAGTGACAAATACAATTTGGGCATTTAGTTGTCCTCCATTTAAGAAAAATGCAAGATATGTGAGAGAAGTAAATAATTTCGATATAGGATATGCCATTATGAATGATACTCCCCTTGCATATAAAAACTTCCGAACTTTTTTCATTTCTTTCCTGCAAATATAAACAATTAACTAAAATCAAGTGTAGAAATTTTAAAGTATTTATTAAAAAAAAAACAGCATGGCAAAAGTATAGTAAAATCAGTGTAAACCAGAATTGCACAAACCTTTTCCGTTGATCGGTTTCCATCTTGAACAGTTAATTTAACATAGAAAAATGCTTCGTTTTAAGCAACATTTTTGTTTAGACAAGTTTTTTGTTTAATTCATGTTTAGTTTCAGACAGCTTTTACTATATTTAAATCAACTTACTCTCTAATTTTCTCAATTAATGCAGCATATGGCAATTCCCAGGTGTACATTTTAATTAATCTCATATCAGCAATCATCTCGTTCAACAGGTTCAATCTTTCGTCTCCCAATTCAGCTGCTTTTAATCTATTATTATGAAATTAAATCTTAAATATAAATATATAGTCTTGGAAAAATAGGCCAATATAAAATTACTTCCGAAATATTTATTAATTAATTTTATATAGTTACCATTTTTTTAATTCCAGTTACAAACTTTTTTTTATTGAACATTTTGTAAACTTTCAGTAAAAGTTTTAAACCATGTGCTGTAGAAATTATTCTATTGGTGCAAAATAATTCCGGAAAGAATGAAGTAAAAGATTCTGTTTTAGTGGTGATAATAATGAATTACTATAAACAAATTAAGGCCTATAGTTCTTACGAATGTTCACTGATAAGTAAGTGCTTCTAGAATTAACTTAGCAGAATCAGCTATCACTGATCTATAATCATGCTGTTTTCAAAATAAGTTTGTACCAATAAGTCAATAATTATTTACACTGTTGACCTACAAGTTTATTTTTTATAAGAATGTGATACTACATAAATATATTATATAATTATATAATAATAAATCCAGCATTATTTTGCCATGTAATATGAAACGAAATGGTTATTGAGTGCATAGAAATAAAATTTAGTATTAACATTCTCAGGTGCTATGTATAACTAAAGAAAACAATAAAATTGTGTGAAATTTCACTCTCCCATTTTCCTGCAAACCTCGATGTTCTGAAACATTATACATTCAAAGAAGTGAATAAATAAATAAAAATTTACGGATATATAACTTACGTCTGCTTAAGTTTGTCCCTCTTTATGAACGTAGTAGTCACATTTGGTGTCACAGATTGAAGTAATTCACAGTATTATAAAATTGTAAGATTATTGGAAGCCAATCAACATCTACAATTATATCATTTAATTCTGATATTTTATAAAGTATTGATGAACTGGTGAATATACCTTATTTGTATTTATTTTTCTGTAGATTCATCTCAAAATAAATAATATACATATCAAACTTCAACCGCTAGAAAATGTTTCCTGTTTCACACTGTGACATAGTATTTGTTTGTGATTACAGAAACTTCTCAGATCTAAAAATCAAGATAAAAATATTAACTTTTTTTAGCAGGAAATATGTTGACCCAGCTGCTGGTACATACACCTGCTGGTAATGTCAGTAAACCGCTAATTGTTTTAGAACTCTGTAAACAAATGCTCTCTTTTTGGTTTAAAGTGGGTTGAATTACTATAAATAAATTGCATCATTCATCATTTTAACACTTAGTCTACCTCACCATTAATTTCACAACATATCTGAGACACCATAGAACATTTCCACAACATCAAGTTTTTAAGAATTATTTTTAGAAATCTGAAAAAATTTAGTATTTTTCTAACTTTTCCTCTTTTAAAACTGACACAGTGCATGTTTCATATTAGGCACCTGGTTTCCAAGAGAAAAGAAAATATGCTGGCATCACATAGTCACCACGAGACTAATGTTTTACATCAAATATACAGGAAAATTGCACGACAGTACCTTATTTCAGCAATGCATACATTATGCAATGGACAGAATAAAAATATGAAATAAATACATCTTTACAAAAATACTATATTTTATATTGGCCCCTATGAATAAAAAAGAAGGAAAGGCAAAAGGAAAAGCATAAAGTAGAAATAAAAGCAAATACTTCGAGCAAAAGGTAAAAGCAAAACATTTCCTCTGTTTACTATAAATAATGCTTGTGGTAAATGACTAAAAGGAAAAAATAATAGCTCAGGATGATCGTTACATAAAATTTCCTAAAACAGATCATTCTGTTATGGAAGCAAAACAGTTATGGAAAAATAAATCCCGTTTTCCAACTGCGATTCTTGTGATTGATTGCACTCACACAAGGATAGAGAAAACCTAGACTTTACGGTTATGAGTACAGTACAGTACAGTACATTAATCGAAATGGAAAACCCATTTTAAACATACAATCTACTTGTAATGCCAGATGCATGTTTACTATCAATACTTAGTTGGATATCTACACTATGTAACAAAGGGCAACATGCGTACAAATAATACGAATTGAATACAGCAAATAAAATAGAACATTGAGAAGAGATTAACGTGTCATAACATGCACATCGAGAACCTTTTACTCGTTTACCAAAAGCATTTTCTCGGAAGTATAAGATAATCATTGTGCATATCAAGCAGAGGAAAGGCTTTTGCTTCTATCTTGTGCTCGATGCATTTGCTTTTACTTCTGCGCTATCTCATTTACATTTTCTTCGTTTTTATTCATACGGGTCGATGTCAGACATTGCTAAATTTTTGGTGATCCACGCATAATTTTTTCGATTGCTATAATTCTCGAATAAGAAATTTAACAATCTGTATTAACAATCTAAAAAATGTTTAGGTTTTACGTAGTATATTTTAAGCGATGGACATGGATATGTGAGAATCCGAATCTAGGAATTGAATTATTTTTAAATCAATTTTCGATGTAATATTTCGATGTTAAAAATTACTCTTTTTCCACCTTTTGATGATAAAATTCGATGTGAACAAGGAAATGGAATTTCCTTTTTCGCCATCCACTTCCTGAGCCAGAAATCTTGTCATTACCGATGGCAAGACTTCTGGCCTGCACGACTCATCTAGACATCCTGCCAAATGGTCGAAATAATAACCCACGATTGGAGAAAAATTAGAATGAAAAGGTATTGCAACTTTGATCGGCGCGGTCATCGTCAGTTTCCCTAGTTATTTTGGTCTGTGTGTCTATCCTGCATTTGCCTCCTCTCAAAATTATCGCCGCCTACCGAAGATTGTCAAACCTTAAAAGAGGTATAATATCAGATCTTATTGGTTATTTAAGATGGATGCCTATCGACTGATCCACGATCTCTCCACTCGTAACCAATAGCCCTCCTCTTTGAAAGAAGTAGTGCGCTTCTAAGAGGAGGCTATATTTTAATGTCGCGTCCTAAGCGATATTAAAATAATTAACTTGACTGGTGTCAGCATCCTGACGTTGAAGGGATATCACTATCCTAACAACACACTAACATAAAGCCATCCAATGACCTAGTCAGCGGATCTCACCTATCTGTGCCAATAAGAGGTCAACACCTTTTTGATCTCCGGCTTCTCACAGTTATTTATTTCCATAATTAGTTTTTCTCACCTGCATGACAGTATCTTACTGTATCTAAAACTGCACAATATAAAATAACTGAGGTTCAAAAAATGCATGTTTTACGTTTTTCCTTGCTGTAATTTGCTCCAAACAGGCAAAATATAAATATTTGGTATCAAATTTCACCTTATTACAAACTATCACACATTTTTGTCAATTGTTATCTGGTTTGTTTAAAATAAAAGTAGAAATTATTATCTATGACATTCGTTGTAAGAATTGTGAAATATTTTCACGGAAAAAATTGAATAGACACGTCTCCATTCCGTAGTGTGAATATCCATGAACCTTCAATTGTTTTAAGAAATATATAAAGAAAAAATCCCTTCTTTCAAACGGATCGAGTGTTTTTTATTTAATTGTACGCAGAAGAAAGTATTCTTTAAAACTTATCGAATAACTATGTTTGATCTGGCAACTTTCATTTTATTTTCAATTTTTTATGCAATATAAAAATGCAGTGATAAAAAATCGATTACCTAAATTCAAAAATAATGATTGCTCAAAACATTACAAAAAATATGAAACTTTTTGCTCATCGATAAGACAGGAATAATTGTATCTTCTATACATTAAATGAAGCAATCCAAAAAATCGTGCACGGTTCACCAAAAATTCGGAAAATTACATGACGTCGCATGCGAAATTATAAGCTTTACAAGATAAAATAAACTAACACCATTACCAAAGAAATGCATTAGTCACAATTACTAACATGTGATACTAACAATACTCGAGCAAAGAAGGTTAATGCTTTCGATCATTTCGTCATTTCCAACATCAGCCGTAAGTCTCTAGATTTCGACTAATGTATGAAATTTTAAACTTATTAAACATATGTATTTCATCTTCATTAATGATATGCTAAGTTATGCATTATTTCTTTACTTTATTTATAAGTTTATCACACTTATAGAATTTACAATAATAATTACCTTAGTTTTGAATATAATTTACTCAAAGCAAATTGTGTAGGAATGTAGAGAAATATGGCTATGAATCCTACTAAAATAGTCCATCCGTAATATTGCCATAACATTGCTATCGTAGTGATGATGAAGAAAAAATTTGTAAATAAATATGGAATGCCGTAATTATTCTGTAATAAATAATAATGTTATTTTATACAAAATACTATAACAGTACAGCATCGATTATCCGACTCAATTGGGGACTCAGGTTGGTCGGATAACCGAAAAGAATGAAAAAAATACATCATTAGTACAGTATATTAGTACTGTATATACCATGTAATTACTATATTAGTATATCGCTATTAACCAACTTCGCGTTGAATTTTCATCGATGCTAAGCCTAACAAATTCTTTAAAAAATGATAATCGTCGCTATTGTATCGTTAAAAATTATTTTTAAATTATTTTATTGCTCACAAAACAAACAACCACTCATAATTAGAAAATTAAGTCGCGTTTAAATACTGGCCTCCCTTCAATGCTCGAGCCGTATTGCCAGCTAAAACAAGCAAAAATTTAACAAAAATAATACCGTGTTTCCCCGAAAATAAGACAGTGCCTTATATTAATTTTTGCTCTGAAAAATGCGCTAGGTCTTATTTTCAGGGAATGTCTTATTTTTTCCAGGAAAAAGAATTCACATTTATTATTGAACAAAAAAATTTCCAAGTCGAACTTAGACGAGAGTGACGTATATCCGGTGTGTCGAACTGTCGTCTTTTTATAGCGTCAACATCGGACTCGAAGACCAATTAGTGTTTACTGAACCGTAGCACTATGCAAATGTCATGTGGCGTGATTCCCGGCCGACCAATTAGCCATCACCAGCCGTAACGTTATGCAAATCTGTGATTCCCAAGCCATAGTCTTATGCAAATCATGCCGTGTGGCGTAATTGTCTGCTGACCAATCAGTGGCTGTACTTTCAAAAAGCCAACGGACACTTTCAACCATCTGTCGATGAGCGTTACGACTAAAAAACACTTCGCTAGGTCTTACTTTCAGGGGGAGGTCTTAGACCCTGTACACACTAGGCGTTTTTCAACGCGCGTTTTAAAGAACCAAGAGTTCTATGTAGCCGTACACACTCAAACGCCAAGCGCGCGTTTATAGACTTTTGTTAAAACGCGCGTTTTGCGGGCACTTTACGGGCGCTTTGAGATATGTGTGCTGCCTTATAGCGACGATGGAGGAGCACACACAATCAATTACTTTCTCGTCCATTTCCAAACTGAGCCAGTGCTAAACGCCGAACTAAAGCTCGTCGAACGCCGAGCTAACGCGCGTTGAAAAACGCCTAGTGTGTACAGGGCCTTATATTTCGCAATTCAGCAAAATCTGTGCTAGGTCTTATTTTCTGCGGATGTCTTATTTTCGTGGAAAAACGGTATTAAAGTAGCCAAGACATAGCCAAATATTGTAGTGCCCCATCACTAGCGGACACTTGAAATTTGCGGACAAGAACGGTCGGTTAACCGATGTGATGGTTAATCAGGGGTCGGATTATCGATGCTCTACTGTATTTCGATCACTATTAATATAAATTTCAGTGTAATTATTATCGAAATTATAGAATATACGATAAACATGTTGAGTTTGCATGACCTAGTGTAATTTTTTAGAGGATTTCGTTAATTTGACAACTACGAAATTATACTTTGATAGACTAGTCAAACTTTTCAGTACGGTAATTTATAAGGGTTTTGAATGAAAAAAGTGTTGTTGTACATTTTGTATCCAGGCAAGCGGCTGCATTGTTTTGAATTGTTTAAAAACACTGTTTTATCAGCATGAATATTAAATGGGGCATACTACTGTTTTATAAATGAGTAAAAAGCTTGTATATATTTATAAACATCAGTGGCGTGCCGTCGTTGAAAGCGGTGGATGCGCCGCTTCCCTTATATTTTCTAAAAAATAAATACATATTAATTTTAATTATATGAAAATAATCGCACAATATTTTATTATAACCGCATTATCTATCTTATTACAAATTTCTATACTACACGTGAAAAAAAAAAATAAGATTGCTATTGTATATTCGAATATTAGTAGCGGAGTGGAAGCTCTGTATTGTCAGCTTCCAAACAGCCAGATTTGCTCATGCGCTTTACAGAGCACCAACCTCACCCGGTTTAGCCGGTGGAAGCCTAGGACCTCGGATGGATGCTACACGTATACTGCATCCAATTCTATCCAGGGCCGGTTCTGGGCTGTTAGCCGCCCACCTGCTTAATTTTTGAAAGCCCTCGCCCGATTACGTGAATCACGAATAGATTTATAACTTAACCCAACCGATAAGAATTTACTGGTATGTTTTTATGATAGTTCTGTATAGTTGACAGGAGTTTTAAAAAAATCCATTAAAATATTTGATATTTTTATTCCGCTCTCTGATTTTATATTACTCACGGATTTCAATGTTAAACCAGTGATATTACGATTTCAAATGTCCCATCTTTAAGGGGATGTAGAAAAAAACGTGTATAATTCTTGTATAATGTTAAAAAATTAACTCTTACTTTGACAGCATCATTTACAACTAAATTTAATGAATGAGAGAGATGCACGAGGTACAGAAAAAGCTCTAGAATTTATTTTCCTTAAATTTACAATTTATGTATCTGTTGTCAAAAAATTTGTCTTTTCACTTTTTTCCCAAGACTACAAGTATTCGAGTACAAAGTAACCGGTTTCGACTTATTTCTACTTAAGAAGTAGTTAAATAATTAAGCGATTAGGGAATTGGGAACGTAAACAAAACCCTGATGAAAGAGCTGAAATTTTACTTAAACAAAAGATTAACCGAATCATCTCTAGCCGAATACATTGGAGACTGATTTCTTCGTATTATTAAAGTAATAAAGACAGAAATTTTTCCAGTTCAATGAGAGTGACAAAAAAGTTGTAAATTTTGGAAATTTCTGAGGACACCTGGTCCTAAAAAGAATTAGTTAGAAAGCAAATGACTAAGTTTAACATATTTAGAATTTTATAGCTATGGTGAGAAACGTTTAAAATCTACAAATTTGTCTTTATTACATTAATAATACGAAGAAATCAGTCTCCACTGTACTCGGCTAGAGATTGGTTCGGTTAAGCTTTTAAGTAAAATTTCGGTTCTTTCATCAGGGTTTTGTTTATGTTCCCAATTCCCTAATCGCTTAATTATTTAACTACTACTTAAGTAGAAATAAGACGTAACCAGTTACTTTGTACTCGAATATTTGTAGTCTCGGGAAAAAGTGGAAAGACAAATTTTTATGATAACGGATACATAAATCGTAAATTTAAGGAAAATAAATTCTAGAGCTTTTTCTGTATCTCGTGCACCTCTCTCATTCATTAAATTTAGTTGTAAATGATGCTGTCAAATTAACGGTTAATTTTTTTACATTATACAAGAATTGTACACTTTTTTTCTACATCCCCTTAAAGATGGGACATACGAAATCGTAATATCACTGGTTTAACATTGAAATCCGTAAGTAATACAAGATGAGAGTGGAATAAAAGGAAAATAAATAGATCAAATATTTTAATGGATTTTTTAAAACTCCTGTCAACTATACAGAACTATCATAAAAACATCATACCAGTAAATTCTTATCGGCTGGGTTAAGTTATAATCGGGCGAGGGCAGCCAAATATTTAGCAGGCAGGCAGCTAATAGCCCAGAACCGGTCCTGGATAGAATTGGAAGCAGTACACGTGTAGCATCCACCCGAGGTCCTAGGCTTCCACCAGCTAAACCGGGTGAGGTTAGTGCTCTGTAAAGCGCATGAGCAAATATGGCTGTTTGGAAGCTGACAATACAGAGCTTCCACTCCGCCACTAATATTCGAATATACAATAGCTATCTTTTATTTTCACGTGTAGTATAGAAATTTGTAATAAGATACATAACTGTGGTTATAATAAAATATTGTGCGATTATTTTCATATAATTAAAATTAATATGTATTTATTTTTTAGAAAATACAAGGGAAGCGGCGCATCCACCACTTTCAATGACAGCACGCAACTGCTATTGACTTATTAACTTGTCAACACGGCAGGTATGAACATTTTGTTTGTTTCATACAAAATATTTTGTTGAAAGTGTTAGAATCATTTCTTACAAAACATTTACTTCGAATACAAAAACAACAATTGCTTAGTGAAAAACTAATGTTTTATAGAATCTAATTTTGTTCTTTTTCATTATTATGTATTCAATGTAATGTACTCTTATCTATAAAAAACTGACATTCACTACTATATAAAGAAAATGCTCACAAAAAGTAACGCTCACTTGATTCGAGGAAATAATGCATATTGTAACTTAAATAAATTTTGTTGGCTCTTCCGCCATGTTTATTTTCCACTTTGAAATAAAAAACTAAAAACTTTGCACTGAAAAAAATTACGTAACTACTGTTGTGGATGCAGTGGACCATTGCGAATGTTAAAAACCCATTTCGTTGTTACATGCAAAACACGCCTGCCTACCAAAATGTAAATCAGATGTGTTAACCTGCTGAAGCGCATGTGCCATTACAATGAACACAGCGGCTGATCAGCAACATGAAAAATGTACTTTCATGTTTATTATATTTGTATGACAGATTGACTTTGTAACCACTCTTTATTCCAATTTATAATTATCTACTCGAATTAATTTCAATTAGAATTGTAAGAAAATAAAACAGAAATTTTGAAGAAAACGCATATACCTGTGATTGAATTACGTGTACAAGATAATATTTTTGTCCTTATTTAACTATTACGCCACATAAAAATATTAATACGTTATGTGTATTAATTAATTACAATTTATATTCATAATAACTTCAACTTACATTTTGAAATTTGCTGACATCATTTACTATAAGATTTACCATTTGCCCAACATTCGATTTTTCTAGAGATGAAGGATTTAATTTCATTGCCTATAAAAAATTGTATATATAATAAATAAATATTCCTTAAAACTAATAATATGTTCCAATAAGAAATTAAGTTTTCACAAGGTTTTTACACAAAGAAATGGAATAAATTTTCTGTTTTAATATGTGTAATTATTATTTGAATTAATATGAAATTAAGAGTTAAATATTAATTTTTTGAATTTTGGGGTTATTATATTACATATAAAAATATATTTTTACTTTAGTGGGATATTATTATGCATAGTATATAATATACTGTATTGCGAAATTAAATAATGTAAGGAATTTGCATATCAATAGAGAGACAGTATATTATTAATATCAAAAAATAAATCATAAATTTGTTCTGAAAAATTTTACACTATTAAACTCTTTTGACTCCTTTTAAACTGTTTTAAGTTGAATAACCTTAACCCTTCTTTGCTTTTGTGACAAAATGCTTTCCATGAAGTGCGTGGAATTTCAAACACACTACTATTTTCTCCTAAATTGTGAAAAATTGGACATGTCATTAAAAACTATGATTATATCTTAAATTTCTATATTTTACCTACTATCTAACGGTATAAAATTATTGTGGATCCAAAACAAAAAGGTAAACATATAAACTTGCCAAATTTTTTTCAAAAACGTGAAAAAATAAACATATCAATGTTCAAATGGCTGTAAAGTAACTAAAGTAGCATTGGGCTTGGGTGAAGTTTAATTTTTCAAACAGTAATTTTTTATGTACTCTTAGATTTTGTAAGGAGCCAGCACAGAGACCTGAAGGGCTCATTCTGTTGTTTTTGTTATTGTCATGATTTGTATGTCTCCAACAACTACAGAATAAGTTTTACCACATTGCAGTAAAGACATCCAGGCAAATCCAATCAAGTCACATAAATAATTGCACATACGTAAATTCTCATAAGCAAGGCCATTTCTATTACAGCAGCCCACCAATATTCTTATTATAATGTCACAGTAGTTTATCATAGTCATTGACAATGGCGAATCTTATTAAAATATCTATAATTATGCACTTAACATGAAAATTCTGAAGGTTTTTAAAACCTTCCGAAATGTTTAAACTAAATGTGCATTGTTGAAATTTTAATAAAAAGTGTTTTAATAATTTACAAGTTTTTAATCGTCTTAAAAAGAATACAGCAGGTATGTCATTTGAAATGTTAATTTGTATGCTTAATACTATGTCGTAACTTAATATAATTTATTAAATGGCAAAATGAAAAGAAAGGGAAAAATCTGTAATCATGCATACATTCATTCTAAGAAATTATGTTTAAACATCACTCAAAATTGGATAATGTAAAATACAGAACAGAAGATATGTTCCTTGTAATTATATGTGTTATCTTAACAATTTAATGCTATATGATAACAGTGTACATTTTAAAAATAGTTGACTGGTGAGGGGCATTGTGAGACCGAAACGCGTATCAACCAAAAAAGAATAAGTAAAGGATGAAAAGATGTCTAGTGTCTGATTGACTGCACTAATCGTGCTTGTGAAACAAAAATAAAAATAACACATGAGTGAACTAAACATTTTGTATCCATGATAATTAAATCTAATTCTATAATGAGAACATAAAACACCGTATGAGTGTAGTGTGTAAATAAATTAACAACGAATCTTAATTTTTTGTAAAAAATTTAACCAGACAGAAAATCTTTCATTTGAAAACGTTTATATATAGAGACAAAAATTTCATTTATTCCCAAATTATTTTTCATTTTTAGATATTATTATAAAAGGTAAAAATAAAGCCATCGATTTCTGCATATGCAAACAACTTTCATTCATTAATGTTAATTTGTTCAATCCTCATATTTTTCAATACACTTTCTGAAAAATATAAATATTTATATAATAATATATTCATAGTAAATTATATTTCATACTCACTTTTCTGTATATAATCGTGCAAAAAGCTATCTTTAATTTCATTCCAATAAATTCTGTCATAATTAAATTAGTATTATATGTAAAGAAATAAATTGCAGTCACGCCAAAAAATCCGGCAACGGTTAAGTAAATATTGTATTCATTCCATTCCAACTTATTGTCAAAATAGTGTACTGTTAATCCTAATAAGTGTGCTTGGCCCACAACTAGTGCTGTGTCCTGCAAATGTACATAAATATCACTTATTTAAATGATTTTAATATATGATTATCATATAAGCTAATCAATTGTCAAGTACCTGAATCAATGTAAGTAAAATTAATGCTAAGAATATCCATCCAACGAATCGTAATACAGCTTTTAGTACGTTTGGATTTCTTTTCTGTAGTTCTTTGTTCCACTCTCTAAAAACAAATTGCAATGAAACGTAATACGAGTAAATGAAAACAATATTTTAAATTAATATTTCAACTTTTTGTAAATTTATAAGTTATTTATAGCGCATTTAATACTATTATTTCTTTATGAAAATACAGTAAGAGTTTATTAATCCAGTACTTGTTAGTATTAAGTATGTGAATTAATAATCAGTTATCAATTTAGTAATCTTCAAATCAAATTGCTAGTAATCTTAAAATCAAAATGTGTTTGGACACATGTAGTGTGCTAAAGACAGCAAGGAACAACCAAAACAGATTTGAAAAGTGAGGCTGTGCAACGTTGCTACATTTCACAAGATGGATGTAATCTTAACTTAGCATAGTCATATATATATATATATATGTGTTTGTGTTACCGTTAAAGTCTATAATCCGTTATTGTATAGAATATCTAGCTATTTCATAGAATACCTAAACAGGTCGTTAAAGTGTATAATAGTCTAACATTCTCTACTTTAACTAGGTATTATATATATAAAATAACGATTACCGCTTCGGTTAGGCATATGAAATAAAAATCGTTTTTGTTTATAAAGATCAAGGAATGATATAACGATGAAGAGAGAGAGTTGAAACTATCCCAACAAGTGTACATTCAAGTTATCAGTTCAACCAAACGATCGCTTTAAACAATCGAGCTATAAATCCGCTATTATTAATGATTAGATACTAAGTATTTTTATGCTAGAGGCAGACGCTATGCGCTATCTCTTATCTAAATTAATAATTATAATAATTTATTAAATAATTTAGAACATTATGGAAGAAACATATTTCTGTGTATTGGGGCTTAGGGGCGTTTAGTAAAGTTATCAGCTGTTTACTGTCTTTCTAGTTTTGTTTAGTGCTCAGACAATTGTAAAATTTTTGTACTTACCTTTTTAAAATTATTTTTTGTATAATTTTTTGTGAAATGGATAAGAAAGAAGTGATGAAAGCGACGTTCGAATTCTTTTTAAGTGAGAGTAATGTAAACAACAATAGTTCTTTGCTAAGTCGTGAAAAGATATTATGATTCATACGAGAAGTGAAGACAGCTAGAGTGACTGACAAAGGAAACTAGAGATTATTGGTTACTTCAAAGTTATGATGTTCTGAACGTTCAAGGAATAGAGAATTTAATAGTTCTACTTAAAGCTACAGAAGCAGAAGTAATATTTTATTGTTCAAGTAATAAACAGTATGATATTCTGTACGAAACATATTTCTATTGGACATGGTGGCAGAGAGCAAATGATAAAAGAACTGAATCTTCGTTACAAAAGTATTACTAAGAAGATATCAAGCTGTTTCTGAGCATTTGCGAGTTTTGCCAATCAAAAAGAAACACGGAGAAGAAAGGTGTTCTAAAGCCAATATACTATTTGCTTTAAAATGGCTTTCACATAGGAATTCAAGATGTCAGGTAAATCTGATATATTTTCACTCTTAACCTGATGGAAACTACAGCTTTATTTTAGCGTACCGAGATTATTTGACTAAGTTTGTTACTTTAAGACCCCTCCAAAGAAAGAGGGCCGAAAGTTCGTACACATTTACTTGATATATTTTTGCTTCTCAGTGCACTCTACATCCTCCAGTCTGATAATGGCCTGAAATTTGCAATAAGATCATAGAAGACTTGAAAATAACTTGTCCAGTGCTTAAAATTGTACACTCAGAGTCAAGGCGTAGAGAGAGCCAACCAACAAATAGAAAATATTCTGACAACCTGGATGCAAAACAATCAATTTACTTCATAAAGTAACGGTCTAAAATGTATTCAGTTAATGAAAAATAAAGCTATCCACTCTGGTATAAAAAATCTGCTTACAAAGCTATGTTCGGGTGTGCATCAAAGGTGGAATTGTCAACAACATTCATTTCAAGAAAAGCATTTGATTATTGAATAATAAAGATGATTTGCAAGATAGTCTGTCTGTATCACAAAACAAGGACACTTTGGTTGAAGAAGTCATATCTACATTATGTGACATTTGTTTAAGGTATTCAGAGGATCAAAGCTACATTTCAAAAGATGACATTGAACAGGAAATCTGCAGATTATGTTTAAATAAACTGGATGTCCAGAAAGAAAGAGAAGAGGCCAAAGGATGTTTAGAAATACAAGCAATGAAAATGAAAATCTGAAAAAAAAAATCACATTTTGAGGCATTTGTAGGAATGAAGATTTGTATCCCTGTGCCTATGTTGACAGAGGATGAGATACCAGATCCATTCTTGCTGTTGTTGTGGAAAAAACAAGTCAAGGATTTTATCGATTTGGAACAAGAAATAGGTGCATCAAACAGTTATATTGCAGGAGTCAGTTTACTCTCTGTGAACAAAAATTAGTATCAATTGACGAAATATCTGACATTGAGATATCACTCCGGCCTATCGTTACAACCCAAAGTGTTGGTACAGGTCAAAGGCTTCAAAAACTGCTCATGAAAAACCAGTATGACAACAAAATCTGTGCTTGACTAACTATAATGCTCTCTGGAATTTCGAATGCCATTCCAACACCCTTTGTTCTAACGAATAGAAATTATTATAGTTTTACAATATTTACTTATTATATTAAATATAATCATTTGAGAAGTTTAGCATGCATTTATTTTATTACTTCTATTTCATAGTCTAACTAACACTATAGAATAGTTAGCTATTGCATAGAATAACTAGTTAAACTATGTAATTCTTAATTCATTTCATACTTTACCTAAACAAGGAAGGTATTCTATGAAATAACTAAATATTTTATAGAATAACGGCCTTCAATAATTTAACAGCAACACACAGACATATATATAATAGTCTTCAGATTGATTAAATAGTGTGAGTAAAGAAATCAGGAGTACGTAATAACATGTTCACTTAAAAAATGTACAGCATTATTTGCAATCAGCAAATCGCATACAACTTCTTCAGTTTTTTCTCAAAAATACTAAACCGTTCATTCCTCAGTTTTTAATAATCGGGCATCACTCTACTTCGGTAGCTAGCAGGTTAAGAAACAATCCTAATTGCTTAATATTTCAGCCAACTCATTTCAAGTTATGAAAGAAATTAGCTAAGTCACAGGTAGATACCACAATACCTAAGTTATCTGTAATCACAGTTTCATTACACGTGATGTGTTACAGAGCACTTGTGATTTAACAAAATAGTATACCCATTATTTCTTTTGCCTAGTTTATAAAAGTATTCAATTTAATCAGAATAAACATAAGAAATTGGTTTACTTACTTCTGAAGAATATTTCCAAGATACTCTGAAGTATGATATTTGGAAGTTTCGAATAAATCTTCTTCTTTTAAAAATCGCTTTGTTCCTTTGATTATTATGGGAAAAAGCCAACTGAAAAATAAATAAATTATTTGTTATTGTTATTTACAATTATTTTCATGTACAGATATAGAATACAGGTATATGTATTCACAAATATTATTTATTGTATTTCATGAGATACAATAAATAATATTTGTGAATACATATCAACAATGATTATGATTATTCATTAAGTGCAACTTGCCAAAAACACAAAATGAAAATTTATTGTTTATATTATATTACTCTTCGAACTACTACAATTACAGATGTATTTGAAACATTTCTGAAGTAATATGAGGTAAATATATAATGTAACGAAAACCTGTTTTATTAGTTCTAAAATTATAAGCAGTTACAAATGTTCACAATTACACTAATGTTTATTTTTTAAGTAACAATTTTATTTTCAAATTTCGATTTATCCGTTTTCACGAATTCTCACATGAGGATAACATCCAGAATTATCATACCCGGATGTAAGGTAAAAAACGAAACTTAATAGTTAATAGAAATAAGCCAGTGGCAAGCTCGTCTTCTTAAAAAGAAAACGCCGTTAACTTTTGCCGCAGTGAAGTATCATAATCTTAACATGGTAAAAAATATAAATTTGAATTTTCTAATTTGCTTAGAAACGTAATAAAGTCAAAATTAATAATTGATAACAAAAAATTAACAAAGGATCACAAAAAGTTTTCCAAACAATATTCATATTTTTGTAACAAAAACTCTATTGAATGCGATTTACCTCACATTAATTATTATTTAATAATATTTACAGATATAATGATTGTTTCACATTTGTTTGTAAAGATATGAATTAAGATGTAAATAAAGATTTTTTATTTTGATCTTTGACTAATAGTAAGATCTATTCTCTTTGCAAATCAGAAACATCACCAATATTATAAGTTCTATTAATAAACACGACCCAAGTACACAATATATATGTTATGGACAAAGTGTTTAATATGGACATTATTAATAATGCCTGGTCATTATGAATAATGACCAACAAAATCGGGCATTGTAATAAATTTCAATAAATTATCAAATTGACTGGTCATTATGAATAACGCCATCATCTAGTTGGGCAAAGTGATAATAATGCACTATCCAATCAGTACCCGCATCAGAGTTGCTTGTGCGTGTTGCATTTAGTACCGAATTTGGTGGCGGTCGCAACTGTTTGTGCTTTCGACGGATTCCTCCCTGAGAGGAGCCGCCGGCAGGCTGCGTATTATTTAATGTTACTAGATATTGATTCATGGTAGTTCTTGAACACACGTATCAATAATTAGTATGTATTAATATCTAGTGACGTTAAACAATCGGCGGCCTGCCAGCAGCTTCCCTCCAGGAGGAATCTGTCGGGAGCTCAAACAGTTACAACCACCGCCATGACTATGCACATAGGTAAAATTTTACTATTTAATTAATATAGTTAATATTACTTAGTTATAAAAGATTCTTTTTAAAATACTTTGAAATAATTCACAAAAAATAAATATTTCTAAATGAAATAAGTGAACTTTTTTAATCAAATTAAAATGTTGCACAATTAAAAATTCAGTACTATATGCAATACGCACTCAACACGATACAATCAGCAACTCAGAGTGCCAATTGGCTAGCGTATGTTAGATGATCACTCCTTAACGTATTATTATCACTTTGCCCAATTAGGTGATAGCAGTATTCATAATGACTGGTCAATTTGATGAATTAATCAAATAATTCATCATATTTATTACACTGCGTGCCCTTTTTGGTCATTATTCATAATAACCGGGCATTATTCATAATAACCGGGCATTATTCATTTCTGTGTATATGTTATGGACAAAGTGATTAATCACTTTGTCCATAACATATACACAGAAATGTAAAATAGTGAATACGAAGAGGCAAAAATATTTAATATCACTTTAGGATTTACTTCCACATTAATCTTTCGCATTTCAGAGGAATTAATGTAGAAAGAAATTCTTCATGATCTTATTATACATGGTGTCCAATGAAATGCCCCAAGGTTGCATGCTTATAAGAATTCAACAAATGTAATAATTTCAGCCCAATGGCGCAGTTTATGTTGTGTTACACATGAAATTAAAATATGTTTTTGTCACTAGAAGGTTTTCTGAGAGCTGTTTCTGCAAACATCGTGTTAGTGCAGGAGAACACTCAAGAATATTAGACTCAACGTGTGCATTTACAAAACATCGATTAATGCTGAATTAATGGGGGAAAAGCATTAATAATATGAATTTTTATTGATTCTAGTCATATAATATGCACGGTGAAAGCAGCTTTTGGAAGCAGTATAATTCAGATTGATGAGAACAATGAAATAAGTCAGATAAGATATTTCCAAAGCTTATCGAAATTTTTAAATCAATTTTTAAATTGATAAGCGACTATGCCCTTGTGATACTAGCACGTCAGAAAACAATTCAGCGCAGAAAATAAAAAGAAAGTCTCTCCAAACGTTAAATGTCTACTTGTTTTTTTCCAAATGAGAAAGAACAATACAATAACCAATGCTTCGTACAAACAGAAGACCTACAACAGAGGTTTGTGGATTTGTTTTAAAATACGAATTAATCAGTAAAGTGATATTTTTAAACGCAGTTCAACTAACAGGGCATGGTAACCTATAGAATGAGAAAAAAACATCAAAATCCCTTATATTTGCAATGATTGCGACCAGCGACCAGTTTTTATGTAAATATCATACAGAAGTGTATGTATACAGATTGTTAAAACGAATATTGTAGAGATGAGAGTGAGTGAAAACGAACAGCTTCTCCTGGCTTTTAATGTATTTTGCTTTCAACTTTTACATCTACAGTTTTATATTAAACTTTGCTTATTCCATGTTCAGCAGTAAATCAAATATTAAATATATAGAATTTACAATAAATTTATTCAAGTTGCTGAATGATGCGTTAACTTTTTAATAATAGAGAAACCACGACGAGTTCAGATCCAACCTCACAAGGGTCTCGACATCTCAGACATCAACAATGGCTTCCGAGTGTTAATGTAACAAAATCATGCACGTGGAAAAGCTTCAGTTATCTTACAGGAATCCATAATCCATGGCAGTTCATTGAAGCAATGCGAAAGATTGCGAAACTTCTTAAGGAAAGTAATTCAACATGGAGTTTGCTAGATATGTGGGTTATTAACAGTTAGTTACATCTAAAATTCGGTTATATATTCAAACCGTCAGCATTATAATAGGGAAACACACTAGACACCCATAAAAGAGAGCAAAAATTAGGACAGGAAAATAAAAACAATGATTTCAAAATTTGAAATGTAGGCCTATATAAAAAGAAATGAACAGAATACGGAAAAAAGCAGGTATTAATATCTGTGAGTAAACAGTGAAAATCATTGTAGAAATGGAGTTTTTTTATTCAAGGACTTATCAGAAACCAACATTAACACTAAAATATAAAAACGAGGTTAGATTGAGACCAAGCGAAGCAATCATGGATACACTCACACTCGGATAATCTTTATTTCTTTACCTGACATCGTGGTGAAAAAGTCAGGTAAAGTACAGAGTGGCCTTTTGGCTTTTAAATATACATTCCGACATTAAGATAGGAACAGTCAAATATAATTCCGCGTTCTTATGACAAACAAAACAAATTACAGAACTCTGGTCATGAATCGTGTCTAGTCATGACCCAACAGAAAATACAAACTTAAAAGCTGGAACGTCGCATGTGAATAGATGTGTATCATCACATTGTGACTGTGAGGATCGTAGGTCCGATTTTTCGCAAATTTCAGAAAATTCGTAAGTCTATTTCTCCGTTGCGATCGTAAAGAAAACATCGCACAGGAAGCGGATTGAATGACACCCTTTTCTATCAACAACAGGGAGAGACTTAAACAACCCAGTATTATAGGAGGAGAAAGTCGATTGTCGACTTGTAAATAGAAGGAAGCGTGCAAATTTCGGACCAAATATGGTCATGACAGTTGCATGTAAGTGACATTATAACATCATCAAATGAGACCTCTGACCTCACATTTGCAGATTCGTCGCTAAACATCCGATCACCTGATGTGTTTTCACAGGCTAAATCGATAAAAGGGAGGTGAGAACTCAAGTCGTGGAGGGCTACATCGGACGCCATACACAGGCCATACATCTCCAGCCACCCTGTTACAGCGGACATCTTCAGAACGTCATAGCCAGTTCAACATATCCCAACAGACTCCTTCCAAGGCTCCCTCGTCGCTATTATAATAAAAGATGACGACTCGAATTGCCTTATAAGAAAAGAAGACATCGATCACGGCTCACCCTGCACAAAGACAGAGAACCACATCTCTCTCTGAGGTATTTCTGTAAACTCTCTCTCTCAAGAGCGAATAGCGGATAGAACGCAAACGGAGCGCTTAGATATTTATTTGTGTCGCCTTAGATGTATATTCCATTTCTGTGTACGCTTAGATTTAGACGTCTATATTAAACTTATACTTTTATTCGTTAACTTAGCTACCTGTCACTATCAAACCTTGAACACTTATCGACTTACTCACTGACCTCCCCACTCGGTAATTCAAGACCCTACTATTTAAAGCCATCCAGTGACCTCGAGACGGGTTTTACCAATCTGAGGCTGTTCAAGGGTTAGGAACCTCTACCCTTGGCTAATCTCACAGTGACATATAAAGTTAGATCAGGGGCCGCCAAAGTGGTCGATATGGACCCCAGGGGTCGATGCAACATCATTGGGGAGTCGATGCGGCTAGCGGGTCGATTAGGGGGTCGATGCGGCTAAGGGGTCACAACCTTTTTTTTTTCTTAGTTAGAGACTACAACGTTTTTTTTCGCTCATACATATACACTTGTAATAAAACTTTACGGTGGGGGTCAATGTGAGGCTTTGGAAAGTGATTGGGGGTCGACGGTTAAAAAGGTTTGGCGACCCCTGAGTTAAATAGTTACCAAATGTTAGTCCGTTCAGAGTTTCTTCTTGATAAGTTTCTTTAGCAAGAGGTACTAGTATTTATTCTGAGGCAGAGACTGTAGATCCAATCCGCATTCTTTGCTTACATCTTAAGCTCTACAAGATGGTTTCTGAAATGAACCATCGAGCAAGCGCTGATGTNTATATAAAATAACGATTACCGCTTCGGTTAGGCATATGAAATAAAAATCGTTTTTGTTTATAAAGATCAAGGAATGATATAACGATGAAGAGAGAGAGTTGAAACTATCCCAACAAGTGTACATTCAAGTTATCAGTTCAACCAAACGATCGCTTTAAACAATCGAGCTATAAATCCGCTATTATTAATGATTAGATACTAAGTATTTTTATGCTAGAGGCAGACGCTATGCGCTATCTCTTATCTAAATTAATAATTATAATAATTTATTAAATAATTTAGAACATTATGGAAGAAACATATTTCTGTGTATTGGGGCTTAGGGGCGTTTAGTAAAGTTATCAGCTGTTTACTGTCTTTCTTTCTAGTTTTGTTTAGTGCTCAGACAATTGTAAAATTTTTGTACTTACCTTTTTTAAATTATTTTTTGTATAATTTTTTGTGAAATGGATAAGAAAGTGATGAAAGTGACGTTCGAATTCCTTTTAAGTGATAGAAATGTAAAAGACAATAGTTCTTTGCTAACTCGCTATTATGAAGATAATGGCTCTTTGCTAACTCGAAAAGCTATTATGAATTCATACGAGAAAGGAAGACAGCTAGAGTGACTGACAAAGGAAACTAAAGATTATTGGTTACTTCAAAGTTATGATGTTCTGAAAGTTCGAGGAATAGAGAATTTAATAGTTCTACTTAAAGGTACAGAAGCAAAAGTAATATTTTATTGTTCAAGTAATGAACTGTATATTCTGTACGAAACATATTTCTATTGGACATGGTGGCAGAGAGCAAATGATAAAAGAACTGAATCGTCGTTACAAAAATATTACTCAAGAAGATATCAAGTTGTGTCTGAACATTTGCGAGTTTTGCCAATCAAAAAGAAACACGGGGAAGAAAGGTGTTCTAAAGCCAATATACTATTTGCTTTAAAATGGCTTTCACATAGGAATTCAAGATGTCAGGTAAATCTGATATATTTTCACTCTTAACCTGATGGAAACTATATCTTTATTTTAGTATACTGAGATCATTTGACTAAGTTTGTTATTTTAAGACCCCTCCAAACAAAGAGGGCCGAAAGTTCGTACACATTTACTTGATATATTTTTGCTTCTCAGTGCACTCTACATCCTCCAGTCTGATAATGGCCTGAAATTTGCAATAAGATCATAGAAGACTTGAAAATAACTTGTCCAGTGCTTCAAATTGTACACTCAGAGTCAAGAAGGCGTAGAGAGAGCCAACCAACAAATAGAAAATATTCTGACAACCTGGATGCAAAACAATCAATTTACTTCATAAAGTAACGGTCTAAAATTTATTCAGTTAATTAATGAAAAATAGAGCTATCCACTCTGGTATAAAAAATCTCCTTACAAAGCTATGTTCGGGTGTGCATCAAAGGTGGAATTGTCAACAATTTCAAGAGAAGCATTTGATTATTGAATAATAAAGATGATTTGCAAGATAGTCTGTCTGTATCACAAAACAAGGACACTTTGGATGAAGAAGTCACATCTACATTATGTGACATTTGCTTAAGGTATTCAGAGGATCACCTAGAAAGCTAGAAAGCTGTTCAACGTCATTTCAAAAAATGACGTTGAACAGGAAATCTGCAGATTATGTTTAAATAAACTGGATGTCCAGAAAGAAAGAGAAGAGGCCAAAGATGTTTAGAAATACAAGCAATGAAAATGAAAATCTGAAAAAGAAAAATCACATTCTGAGGCATCTGTAGGAATGAAGATTCGTATCCCGGTGCCTATGTTGACAGAGGATGAGATACCAGATCGATTCTTGCTGTTGTTGTGGAAAAAACAAGTCAAGGATTTTATCGATTTGGAACAAGAAATAGGTGCATCAAACAGTTATATTGCAGGAGTCAGTTTACTCTCTGTGAACAAAAATTAGTATCAATTGACGAAATATCTGACATTGAGATATCACTCCGGCCTATCGTTACAACCCAAAGTGTTGGTACAGGTCAAAGGCTTCAAAAACTGCTCATGAAAAACCAGTATGACAACAAAATCTGTGCTTGACTAACTATAATGCTCTCTGGAATTTCGAATGCCATTCCAACACCCTTTGTTCTAACGAATAGAAATTATTATAGTTTTACAATATTTACTTATTATATTAAATATAATCATTTGAGAAGTTTAGCATGCATTTATTTTATTACTTCTATTTCATAGTCTAACTAACACTATAGAATAGTTAGCTATTGCATAGAATAACTAGTTAAACTATGTAATTCTTAATTCATTTCATACTTTACCTAAACAAGGAAGGTATTCTATGAAATAACTAAATATTTTATAGAATAACGGCCTTCAATAATTTAACAGCAACACACAGACATATATATAATAGTCTTCAGATTGATTAAATAGTGTGAGTAAAGAAATCAGGAGTACGTAATAACATGTTCACTTAAAAAATGTACAGCATTATTTGCAATCAGCAAATCGCATACAACTTCTTCAGTTTTTTCTCAAAAATACTAAACCGTTCATTCCTCAGTTTTTAATAATCGGGCATCACTCTACTTCGGTAGCTAGCAGGTTAAGAAACAATCCTAATTGCTTAATATTTCAGCCAACTCATTTCAAGTTATGAAAGAAATTAGCTAAGTCACAGGTAGATACCACAATACCTAAGTTATCTGTAATCACAGTTTCATTACACGTGATGTGTTACAGAGCACTTGTGATTTAACAAAATAGTATACCCATTATTTCTTTTGCCTAGTTTATAAAAGAATTCAATTTAATCAGAATAAACATAAGAAATTGGTTTACTTACTTCTGAAGAATATTTCCAAGATACTCTGAAGTATGATATTTGGAAGTTTCGAATAAATCTTCTTCTTTTAAAAATCGCTTTGTTCCTTTGATTATTATGGGAAAAAGCCAACTGAAAAATAAATAAATTATTTGTTATTGTTATTTACAATTATTTTCATGTACAGATATAGAATACAGGTATATGTATTCACAAATATTATTTATTGTATTTCATGAGATACAATAAATAATATTTGTGAATACATATCAACAATGATTATGATTATTCATTAAGTGCAACTTGCCAAAAACACAAAATGAAAATTTATTGTTTATATTATATTACTCTTCGAACTACTACAATTACAGATGTATTTGAAACATTTCTGAAGTAATATGAGGTAAATATATAATGTAACGAAAACCTGTTTTATTAGTTCTAAAATTATAAGCAGTTACAAATGTTCACAATTACACTAATGTTTATTTTTTAAGTAACAATTTTATTTTCAAATTTCGATTTATCCGTTTTCACGAATTCTCACATGAGGATAACATCCAGAATTATCATACCCGGATGTAAGGTAAAAAACGAAACTTAATAGTTAATAGAAATAAGCCAGTGGCAAGCTCGTCTTCTTAAAAAGAAAACGCCGTTAACTTTTGCCGCAGTGAAGTATCATAATCTTAACATGGTAAAAAATATAAATTTGAATTTTCTAATTTGCTTAGAAACGTAATAAAGTCAAAATTAATAATTGATAACAAAAAATTAACAAAGGATCACAAAAAGTTTTCCAAACAATATTCATATTTTTGTAACAAAAACTCTATTGAATGCGATTTACCTCACATTAATTATTATTTAATAATATTTACAGATATAATGATTGTTTCACATTTGTTTGTAAAGATATGAATTAAGATGTAAATAAAGATTTTTTATTTTGATCTTTGACTAATAGTAAGATCTATTCTCTTTGCAAATCAGAAACATCACCAATATTATAAGTTCTATTAATAAACACGACCCAAGTACACAATATATATGTTATGGACAAAGTGTTTAATATGGACATTATTAATAATGCCTGGTCATTATGAATAATGACCAACAAAATCGGGCATTGTAATAAATTTCAATAAATTATCAAATTGACTGGTCATTATGAATAACGCCATCATCTAGTTGGGCAAAGTGATAATAATGCACTATCCAATCAGTACCCGCATCAGAGTTGCTTGTGCGTGTTGCATTTAGTACCGAATTTGGTGGCGGTCGCAACTGTTTGTGCTTTCGACGGATTCCTCCCTGAGAGGAGCCGCCGGCAGGCTGCGTATTATTTAATGTTACTAGATATTGATTCATGGTAGTTCTTGAACACACGTATCAATAATTAGTATGTATTAATATCTAGTGACGTTAAACAATCGGCGGCCTGCCAGCAGCTTCCCTCCAGGAGGAATCTGTCGGGAGCTCAAACAGTTACAACCACCGCCATGACTATGCACATAGGTAAAATTTTACTATTTAATTAATATAGTTAATATTACTTAGTTATAAAAGATTCTTTTTAAAATACTTTGAAATAATTCACAAAAAATAAATATTTCTAAATGAAATAAGTGAACTTTTTTAATCAAATTAAAATGTTGCACAATTAAAAATTCAGTACTATATGCAATACGCACTCAACACGATACAATCAGCAACTCAGAGTGCCAATTGGCTAGCGTATGTTAGATGATCACTCCTTAACGTATTATTATCACTTTGCCCAATTAGGTGATAGCAGTATTCATAATGACTGGTCAATTTGATGAATTAATCAAATAATTCATCATATTTATTACACTGCGTGCCCTTTTTGGTCATTATTCATAATAACCGGGCATTATTCATAATAACCGGGCATTATTCATTTCTGTGTATATGTTATGGACAAAGTGATTAATCACTTTGTCCATAACATATACACAGAAATGTAAAATAGTGAATACGAAGAGGCAAAAATATTTAATATCACTTTAGGATTTACTTCCACATTAATCTTTCGCATTTCAGAGGAATTAATGTAGAAAGAAATTCTTCATGATCTTATTATACATGGTGTCCAATGAAATTCCCCAAGGTTGCATGCTTATAAGAATTCAACAAATGTAATAATTTCAGCCCAATGGCGCAGTTTATGTTGTGTTACACATGAAATTAAAATATGTTTTTGTCACTAGAAGGTTTTCTGAGAGCTATTTCTGCAAACATCGTGTTAGTGCAGGAGAACACTCAAGAATATTAGACTCAACGTGTGCATTTACAAAACATCGATTAATGCTGAATTAATGGGGGAAAAGCATTAATAATATGAATTTTTATTGATTCTAGTCATATAATATGCACGGTGAAAGCAGCTTTTGGAAGCAGTATAATTCAGATTGATGAGAACAATGAAATAAGTCAGATAAGATATTTCCAAAGCTTATCGAAATTTTTAAATCAATTTTTAAATTGATAAGCGACTATGCCCTTGTGATACTAGCACGTCAGAAAACAATTCAGCGCAGAAAATAAAAAGAAAGTCTCTCCAAACGTTAAATGTCTACTTGTTTTTTTCCAAATGAGAAAGAACAATACAATAACCAATGCTTCGTACAAACAGAAGACCTACAACAGAGGTTTGTGGATTTGTTTTAAAATACGAATTAATCAGTAAAGTGATATTTTTAAACGCAGTTCAACTAACAGGGCATGGTAACCTATAGAATGAGAAAAAAAACATCAAAATCCCTTACATTTGCAATGATTGCGACCAGTTTTTATGTAAATATCATACAGAAGTGTATATACTGGTTGTTAAAATGAATATTATGGAGATGAGAGTGAGTAAAAACGAACAGCTCTCTTGGCTTTTAAAGTATTTTGCTTTCAACTATCTTACTTTCAACATCTACAGTTTTATATTAAACTTTGCTCACTCCATGTTCAGCAGTAAATCAAATATTAAATATATAGAATTTACAATAAATTTATTCAAGTTGCTGAATGATGCGTTAACTTTTTAATAATAGAGAAACCACGACGAGTTCAGATCCAACCTCACAAGGGTCTCGACATCTCAGACATCAACAATGGCTTCCGAGTGTTAATGTAACAAAATCATGCACGTGGAAAAGCTTCAGTTATCTTACAGGAATCCATAATCCATGGCAGTTCATTGAAGCAATGCGAAAGATTGCGAAACTTCTTAAGGAAAGTAATTCAACATGGAGTTTGCTAGATATGTGGGTTATTAACAGTTAGTTACATCTAAAATTCGGTTATATATTCAAACCGTCAGCATTATAATAGGGAAACACACTAGACACCCATAAAAGAGAGCAAAAATTAGGACAGGAAAATAAAAACAATGATTTCAAAATTTGAAATGTAGGCCTATATAAAAAGAAATGAACAGAATACGGAAAAAAGCAGGTATTAATATCTGTGAGTAACCTCTTGGGATCCACTACTGAAAAAAATTATTTTTTTATTGAAGTTTTATTATGCTTTTGACCTTTAGGTGTCACTTATTAGTAAATTGTCATTTCTCTAAATTTTTTTTGTTCTGGTCATTAAAAAATGGTACGTGTCATATATGACACAATCGTTCTCTACCTATACAAAATGCAAACTTTTCCGTTCATGTAAAAATGGTTTATTTGACTGTTTTTGTACATTATTTGACATTTTATATTTACATATGATATGCTTTAAAACAATTTTTATTTTACCAAGACACAGATGTATTTTGCAGTTGATACAGTACATTGTAGCTCATACACTTTTACATTCTTCCATTGGGCAGTGGTAATTTTTGCAATTTACAATGATTTCTGGCATGTGTTTTGCTTCACTTTTGCATTGTATTTCACTGGGATGCAAAGTTGAAGTATTTTTTTTATAATTTTATTTTTCTCGTCATTTTTATTGATCCCTTTTTTTCTTATTGCCTGTACTGTCTGAATGTGATAGCGATTTTGACACTTTTTTTTAATTTGTTCTTTGAGCAGACTAATGACTTACACTCTCCAGGACAGTCTGCTCAAAGAACAAATGTTTTGTCGCTGTCTTTATCACTGAACCAGCCTTCCACTTCAGACAAATTTCTATCAATATCATGTGTCTTATCGTGTGTCCTATCATGTTTCTTATTTTTTTCGACTGTTGACAATGAGAAATTAAAACTAAATCATTGACATTTATTATAAATATATAATTTATGATATTAAGAATTTATAAGTTTTTAATTTAAAAAAATCTTGCAGACCAAATAAATAAGTAGACAAAAAAAATTCACAGAAATTTGTGATGAATAAAAATAAATAATTATTTTTTTAATAAATTAATTGAATAAAAAATAATAATAAATAATAGAATACATATTGCGGTCCTAATCACCAAATATCTATGAAAGTAAATAACTTGCTAATACGAAAACAGTTCATACACTGTAATGTAATTATTGTAACATAGAGACCCAATGTGTCGTATACGACACGTTGAAAAGTTAGCTCATCTCATGAAACATTGCTATTAATATAGTTTTTAAAAAATACTCTTATATAATCTTAGAAGCCTCCTCAACAAGAATATGTAAAAATTGTAAAATTATAATCAATAGAAATAGAGAAAACTGAATACTGACATCAAGTAGTCATACTTATGATCACTTTTAAAAGCATACGCTCAGACAATCACTTATATTTTCTTTTGTTTCTGTCACAGTGGAATGCATGTGGTCTAATAAGCTTCACTAAACTCTAATGACAAAATGTATAACTAATATAATTGTTTAGCAAGCAAAAAAGCAGAGGTGCTTCTCATTCTTTGGAAGGAAAATTGCGTGTCATATACGACACACGGCATCCCAAAAGGGTAAACAGTGAAAAATCATTGGAGAAATGGAGTTTTCTTATTCAAGAACTTATCAGAAACCAACATTAACACTAAAATATAAAAACGAGGTTAGATTGGGACCAAGCAAAGCAATCATGGATACACTCACACTCATATAATCTTTGTTTCTTTACCCGACATCGTGGTGCAAAAGTCAGGTAAAGTACAAAGTGGCCTTTTGGCTTATAAATGTACATTCCGACATTAAGATAGGAACAGTCAAATATAATGCCGCGTTCTTATGACAAACAAAACGAATTACAGAAACCTGGTCATGAATCGTGTCGAGTCATGATTCAACAGAAAAAACAAACTCAAAAGCTGGAACGTCGTATGTGAATAGATGTGTATCATCACATTGTGACTGTGAGGATCGTAGGTCAGATTTTTCGCAAATTTCAAAAAATTCGTAAGTCTATTTCTCCGTTGCGATCGTAAAGAAAACATCGCACAGGAAGCGGATTTAATGACATCCTTTTCTATCAACAACAGGGAGAGAATTAAACAACCCTGTGTTAGAGGAGGAGAAAGTCGATTGTCGACTTGTAAATAGAAGGAAGCGTGCAAATCTCGGACCAAATATGGTCATGACAGTTGCATGTAAGTGACATTATAACATCATCAAATGAGACCTCTGACCTCAAATCTGCAGATTCGTCGCTAAACATCCGATCACCTGATGTGTTTTCACAGGCTAAATCGATAAAAGGGAGGCGAGAACTCAAGTCGTGGAGGAGTACATCGGACGCCATACACAGGCCATACATCTCCAGCCACCCTGTTACAGCGGACATCTTCAGAACGTCATAGCCAGTTCAACATATCCCAACAGACTCCTTCCAAGGCTCCCTCTTCGCTATTATCATAAAAGATGACGACTCAAATTGCCTTATAAGAAAAGAAGACATCGATCACGGCTCACCCTGCACAAAGACAGAGAACCACATCTCTCTCTGAGGTATTTCTATAAACGCTCTCTCTCAAGAGCGAATAGCGGATAGAACGCGAACGGAGCGCTTAGATATTTATTTGTATCGCCTTAGATGTATATTCCATTTCTGTGTACGCTTAGATTTAGACGTTTATATTAAACTTATACTTTTATTCGTTAACTTGGCTACCTGTCACTATCAAACCTTAAACACTTATTGACTTACTCACTGACCTCCCCACTCGGTAATTTAAGATCCTACTATTTAAAGCCATCCAGTGACCTCGAGACGGGTTTTACCAACCTGAGGCTGTTCAAGGTTAGGAACCTCTACCCTTGGCTAATCTCACAGTGACACATAAAGTTAGATAGTTACCGGATGTTAGTCCGTTCAGAGTTTCTTCTTGATAAGTTTCTTTAGCAAAAGGTATTAGTATTTATTCTGAGGCAAGAGACTGTAGATCCAATCCGCATTCTTTGCTTACATCTNCAGAATAAACATAAGAAATTGGTTTACTTACTTCTGAAGAATATTTCCAAGATACTCTGAAGTATGATATTTGGAAGTTTCGAATAAATCTTCTTCTTTTAAAAATCGCTTTGTTCCTTTGATTATTATGGGAAAAAGCCAACTGAAAAATAAATAAATTATTTGTTATTGTTATTTACAATTATTTTCATGTACAGATATAGAATACAGGTATATGTATTCACAAATATTATTTATTGTATTTCATGAGATACAATAAATAATATTTGTGAATGTATAGCAACAATCATTATGATTATTCATGAAGTGCAAATTGCCAAAAACACAAAATGAAAATTTATTGTTTATATTATATTACTCTTCGAACTACTACAATTACAGATGTATTTGAAACATTTCTGAAGTAATATGAGGTAAATATATAATGTAACGAAAACCTGTTTTATTAGTTCTAAAATTATAAGCAGTTACAAATGTTCACAATTACACTAATGTTTATTTTTTAAGTAACAATTTTATTTTCAAATTTCGATTTATCCGTTTTCACGAATTCTCACATGAGGATAACATCCAGAATTATCATACCCGGATGTAAGGTAAAAAACGAAACCTAATAGTAAATAGAAATAAACCAGTAGCAAGCTCGTCTTCTTAAAAAGAAAACGCCGTTAACTTTTGCCGCAGTGAAGTATCATAATCTTAACATGGTAAAAAATATAAATTTGAATTTTCTAATTTGCTTAGAAACGTAATAAAGTCAAAATTAATAATTGATAACAAAAAATTAACAAAGGATCACAAAAAGTTTTCCAAACAATATTCATATTTTTGTAACAAAAACTCTATTGAATGCGATTTACCTCACATTAATTATTATTTAATAATATTTACAGATATAATGATTGTTTCACATTTGTTTGTAAAGATATGAATTAAGATGTAAATAAAGATTTTATATTTTGATCTTTGACTAATAGTAAGATCTATTCTCTTTGCAAATCAGAAACATCACCAATATTATAAGTTCTATTAATAAACACGACCCAAGTACACAATATATATGTTATGGACAAAGTGTTTAATATGGACATTATTAATAATGCCTGGTCATTATGAATAATGACCAACAAAATCGGGCATTGTAATAAATTTCAATAAANCCTCTACCCTTGGCTAATCTCACAGTGACACATAAAGTTAGATAGTTACCGGATGTTAGTCCGTTCAGAGTTTCTTCTTGATAAGTTTCTTTAGCAAGAGGTACTAGTATTTATTCTGAGGCAGAGACTGTAGATCCAATCCGCATTCTTTGCTTACATCTTAAGCTCTACAAGATGGTTTCTGAAATGAACCATCGAGCAAGCACTGATGTAGTGCTAAACCCTGTTTTCTTCTCGACAACAACTGTAGTGCGTTAATCTTGAATTATGGAATCGACATTGACACGTGTCCCGTAAGAAACTGAGTTAACTGATCGTTTGAACTAAACCACCGACTGCGGAGATGCCGCTTGATGCTGGAAAAATAATCCTGGTGACACGATTCGGGAGAATAGATGAAAGAGATCCTAATTTTCGAGGCTGGAAGAATACAATAGTCAAGGAAGATGTTACGACAGTCGGATACAGCCCATGCCAGCTGATCAACTTTTTCATTCCACAGAGTATCACAGTGCCTTCTCATCCACTCAATGGAATTATTTAGTAATTGGAAGTAATTGAAATGATGTCGAAAATATTTCTGCGTACCGTTTGAACACTTCGAATGTTAAAAAATCGTAACTGAAAAAAGGTTACGATTTTTTGAACGTCCCAAAGAAAAATATTCTTATTTTGTGAATATGCGATCAGCTTGCTTGCATCACTGTCTGGCTACACTCGTTTCCACTATAGATATTTCATAACAAAACTATCGTTGCTATTGAACCTATGCGAGGTGCCAATATCCCTGGGACCAACTTCACTTGCCTTACAACCTCTTCGCTTTATTCATTTCTTCAATCTCCCATTTTATGTGTGTACTAGCGCTCCTATACACGATAATTTTGCTCAATCGAACCCCTCGTTAGCAAAACTCTTTTCGGTCCACCTTTTTCCGCTTTACTTAATCCTTGCTGAGTTGTTAAAAATTTTCCTGACGATTCATCAATTTTTAATGCTGTATTTTTTAAAATCTTATACTTATGAAATGAATGCTTCATTTGTAATAAAAAAATAGCTTATTCAGCTATGCACAATGTCCACCAAGAATTTTGTCATCATTTTCATAGGTGAAGTTCTACTGGTATCTTTCTTTTTTGATATCCGCAATACTGATATCTTCTGTTTTCTGATTGGCAGTCGGCCAGGCTCTACTTCTTCATAAAACATACCTACTTCATAAATAAAAAAAATATCACGAGTTATGTCTTCTGATGAAATAATTGTATGCATCAAAACTTTTATTTGCTTTTAATGACTCTGCAATGTGAATTCCATGAGAATTAGTCAAATAGTTATATACAGTATATATCAATACATAATTTTTGGTAATGATTGTACGCTGAAATCTGGATTTATAAAATGTTATTAAAAGAATCGGGGAGAAAGACAGAATGACATGGATTTAATTTCGAAAATTACTGTTTTCATTTTTTTCAGTATGGAGATTATTATAACAAGAATCAGACATAGTAAATCATGAAAATTAGAAAGATTTAAAAATACCTTCTGAGAACCAGTTTTCATAAAGTAAGCTTTTTAATTTGTTAATAAATATAAAGGATTTATCAATTAGTCCACTTTAAATCTCACTAATATTTGAAACAAGTGGACTGGTGTGATAAGTCTTTCAAAGAGAAAAGTTTTTAATAGAGGTCTGTGGACTTGGAAAAGTAAAAACAATTTTCGCTTTCTTATATTTTAATTGTTGTGTTATATTTTAATTATTGTGTTAATAAAGAGGAGCACACAAATTATATTACCATATCACATTTTTTTATTTTTATAAATGTATTTCTGTATAACTGGTTTTTTGAAGTTTTATTTTATGCAATTGTAAACATTATTCCAAGAAGGAGTTTATTATCTTCATCTGAATAGAAAAGTAATCAATGAAACAAAATAGATAAGATCCCCTGTTCAGATATAGCCGTTCTACAATAATGCTTTATTAATGATTATTGATAAAGGATAAGACGTTTTATAGCTGTTTCATTAATAAATGATTATACAAAATGCGTACAATAAATTTTAAGTAGAATATTTATACGAACAATAATTTAGTACTAAAAATAAACGCCGATATAGTTGTTAGACCTGTAGAAAGAAAGACATTGGACGTTATTTGGACATTTAAGATTTAGAAATTACAGTTATAAGTCATTAAATACAGAAATTAATTTTCGAAATAACTAAAAAATATATTAAAAATTAATAAATTACACTGTAGTCAGTCAACTTACAGAAAAGGCAGAAACCGGAAGTAGTTTTGCTCGTAGATTTGCAAACCGACATGCTCCGTGTTAATTCTTTGTGTAGATTCAATGATCTTCTCTCTCTAATTCTGTCTGTGTATGTGTGAGTATGTGTGTATGTGTGTGAATGTGTGTGAGAGAGAGTGTATGTGTGTGTTGATATGTGCATAATTCTAAAACCCACTCGCTTGTTTTCCTGTGAGTGGAGTTTAACAGTTCGTCTGAGTATCGATAGATGGAAATGGATGTAATCGTATAAAGTACTATATACATGAGCATGAGAATTCTTTGAGATACGCAACACTACTATGTAACTAAGCAAGATATTTTTGTTTATATTTTACTTTTCAAAAACGATACTTCTGCACCAAACTATATTTTTCAGACTAAATCAAGTATTTCTGGCCTAATTAATTTATCAATCATATCTAAGCACTAAAAGTTTAAGAAGTACTGCAGTTCAGAATATTAATAAATTAATACGAGGTCTGTTCAAAAAATACGCGGACTTACGTCATAAAACAAAATGTACTTTATGTAGAAGGTACATGTCTGGGTCCCCTTCAAAGTACTCTCCTTCCTAATGCAACACTTATCCCAACGGTGTTTCCACTTGTTGAAACAGTCCTGGTACGTTTCTTTTGTAATGTCCTTCAACGCCTTCGTCGCATTTGCTTTGATCTCTGGAATCGTCTTAAATCTTCTTCCTTTCAAGGGTTTTTTGATTTTGGGGAACAAGAAAAAGTCACAATTAGCAAGGTCAAGTGTATAGGAGGGGTGAGGAAGAACAGTGATCGAGTGTTTGGCCAAAAACTCACAAGTTCTGAGGGCTGAATGGGCTGGAGCATTGTCGTGATGGAGAAACCAGTCGCCACTCTTCCACATTTCTAGATTTTTGCAATAAATGGCGTTCCTCAGACGTTTCAGAACTTTAATGTAGTAAGTCTGGTTCACTGTGTAGCCTTGGGGGAGGTACTCGTGGTGAACATCACCCTTAGCATCAAAGTAAACTGTCAGCATCACCTTGACATTGGATCGAACTCGGCAAGCTTTTTTGGGTCTGGGAGACCGCTTGAAACATGCCGTACACTTCATGGCAACACCACCGTAAGCCGTGTTGAGCATAGCAAATGTTTCAGTTGCAGATTTTCCAAGTTTAACACAAAATTTCACAGCAAGTCGTTGCTCTATCAGGTCATTCATTCTGAAATTCGACAAACGAAAAACTCGCACTTCACTAAAACCGCATAGCTAATCAACAAATCAAGATATCTGTAATCGGGAAACGGCTTTATCACCAGACGATCTGTACAAACCTAGCGACACCAAGCAGATTCCCCTGGAACCAACTGGGGCCGCGCAATTCAAACAGTCCGCGTATTTTTTGAACAGACCTCGTATTTATATACTTACTTTAATTCATTTTTTAAAACTATTTTTTTTATTAATATTTCAGATTCGGTAATTTATTTTTCTCTCATTTTCAGTGCAGCCGAAGTAATAAGTTCAGTGTTGACATTTCAATTTTTTAGCAATTACATAATTGATTCAGCTGCTAAAATTGATCACGTTTTTTAAAATATAATTCTTCCTTAGACTTTCCATTTGTGAACATAACATATAAATGTTCCTCGTGTGCACAAAGACATAATCTAAACAGTTTGGAAAAATTCTAATTCCAATCATATTATTAAACACTTAATAAACATGGAACATTTTTCTATAATTGGGTTCTTATAATACAAAAGTTTTTTTTAGAAATTTGCATTTTAATTTAATAAACAATATAGGTTAGTGTAAATTAATAATGATTATAAATGAGCTCAATGAGGGGTATTTTAAAATTATTTTATAAACACCATAATAGGTTGACTACTAGGAAAGACAATTTGAACAGCATCAGGCCGACGGCAAAAAAAGAAAAAAAGCCAAACGCAATTCCTAAGTGTTATTGTTAATTGTCTACTTGGACTTTACTTATTAATAGGACTTTATACTGGTGTTTAAAGATTGGCACAGCAATGAGAGTTAGTTCAGGAAAGAACAAAATTTCTTTATTATATCACCTGTAATTTCTGTACACATATTATACGTGTTTCGGGCTAGCATGCCCCTCATCAGCAGTACTACTACCATACATGTAAATACATATTCCAATCCCGAGTATAAATGGATCTTTCTCGTTTTATAATTAAACATTTCAATCAAGGTTTTATTTTTCACCATTCCACAGTATAAAGTCCTATTAATAAGTAAAGTCCAAGTAGACAATTAACAATAACATTAGAATTTAAGGACAGTAAGACTTTTACAATTGCTATTCCTAAGTTTTTGATTTGCTTACTTTTCAAGAATTTTGAAATGTACAAGGGAAAATGTTTATGAAAGAATAACTTCAACAACACAAACAAATACTGAGTCAGTAATTTTTCATTTATTCATTAAAATATTACTTCTTTTTAATACAACATTGTTATTCATCAATACCAATCTATATTGTAGGCTAAATCAGCGTTTCTCAACCTATTTTGGCCCGCGGACCAGTGGTGTTTTTTCAAAAAACTTCACTATAGGGGAGACCGGAGCAAGATCGGCATGTTAAGCTTTACTTAAATTTTGTGTAATAAATACTGCTGTAAACTGAAAAAAAAGCTTTGCATATTGTCTATTGGAATGTTACCTTACTATAGAACTGGTTAAAATCAGTTTGGAAATAAAAATAATTAAAATAATTACAACTTTACAAGAAGAGAGAAATTGACGAAGTTGCCCCGGGTATAGGGGCAAGATCGGCAACTTCTCTCTTTTTGTAAAGTTGTAATTATTTTAATTATTTTTATTAAAGTTGCCCCTGGTATAGGGGCAACAGTAATGGGGCAAGATAGGCACGTATATAAAATTATGTTATTAACAATGTATAAGTTGGAATTCACTATTAAAACAAAGAAATACAAATCCAACACCCATTTAATATTATTACAACGAAATGCAAGTTCAAAGACATATATACATGAATAACAAATGCAAACATGTTTTCATTTATCATCTGTTTGATTTTTATCCTTTGCTTCTAATGTGGCTTTATGTTGCCGATCTTACCCCGCTAGTCATGATTTCGAAACATTAAGTACAACCCTGAGAACAGAATGCCAAGCCACGATCTGGCCACGTGAATAAGTTGAAGTTACATCCTTCTAACAGGAAAAGTAACTTTCGTTATCATGGAATTATAACAAAACCTGCCAATTCAATATAAATGGAAAAAAAATATTATATGGAATTGAACGAAAATGAAAATTTGCTTGATAATTCAACTACGCTTGTTGGAGAACAATAAAAACACTACACTCAACAAGCCACCAATAAAACTCAACTGCCTAACCTATAACCAAAGTCTCCTTTTAATTTGTTTTTAAAAAAAGCGCTTGACAAACTTGCCCCGCATGCCGAAGTTGCCCCGGTCTCCCCTATATTAAAGAATTACTACAGAAGTAAATTGTAAAATTATTATTATCATTTACTTATTATTATTATTTATACATCATAAAATTTTTATTTATTACATTATCATTATTTTTTTGAAAAAGAAAATTTTTAACGCAGAGCGGTAAAAATTCTCCGCCAACCGGCGGTTGAGAAACGCTGGGCTGAATCATATTTGAATGGCATTTCCTTTCATTTAGTCCTGACTATTTTTACTTTCCCGGCTGTTATATATAACAGAGCAAAAGTATGGCAATGGTAAAAAAATTGACCTGGAAAATGTTTACATTTTTGCACTTAGGACAGCTTGAAACGTCGAGAAATGCAAAAAATCTGGAGGGGGTAATTTTTGTATGTATAAATGTTAGGGTGTATGAGTGTCTGTGTGTGTCACGATTTCGTTCATCCTGTTTGAAGCTTAATAACTCCTGTGCTTTTTGTCGAAAATTTCTGATATTTTGCAGGGAGGTTTGTTTATTAGGAGAATTCATGCTGTTAAATTTTTGTGATAAATGTCGAAGGGGTAGGGAAATAATGGGAGTCGTGTGTATCTCCTGTAGGGTCTGTCTTAATGACGATTTTACTCGTTACTAGCATTAACAATTTTTTTATAAAACTCATTCCTATTCTGAAAAGTGGAATGACGCTTTTTGGCATTTTACATTAGTTCAAAATACAAAACATTTTTGAAATAAAATTTGATAACAGATGGAGCCACCAAAATTTTAAATTCTGCTGGGAAAATTTAGCAACTCGTTGCTGGCTTATATAAATTCATGATTAAATTACATNTTCCAATCATATTATTAAACACTTAATAAACATGGAACATTTTTCTATAATTGGGTTCTTATAATACAAAAGTTTTTTTTAGAAATTTGCATTTTAATTTAATAAACAATATAGGTTAGTGTAAATTAATAATGATTATAAATGAGCTCAATGAGGGGTATTTTAAAATTATTTTATAAACACCATAATAGGTTGACTACTAGGAAAGACAATTTGAACAGCATCAGGCCGACGGCAAAAAAAGAAAAAAAGCCAAACGCAATTCCTAAGTGTTATTGTTAATTGTCTACTTGGACTTTACTTATTAATAGGACTTTATACTGGTGTTTAAAGATTGGCACAGCAATGAGAGTTAGTTCAGGAAAGAACAAAATTTCTTTATTATATCACCTGTAATTTCTGTACACATATTATACGTGTTTCGGGCTAGCATGCCCCTCATCAGCAGTATTACTACCATACATGTAAATACATATTCCAATCCCGAGTATAAATGGATCTTTCTCGTTTTATAATTAAACATTTCAATCAAGGTTTTATTTTTCACCATTCCACAGTATAAAGTCCTATTAATAAGTAAAGTCCAAGTAGACAATTAACAATAACATTAGAATTTAAGGACAGTAAGACTTTTACAATTGCTATTCCTAAGTTTTTGATTTGCCTACTTTTCAAGAATTCTGAAATGTACAAGGGGAAAATGTTTATGAAAGAATAACTTCAACAACACAAACAGATACTGAGTCAGTAATTTTTCATTTATTCATTAAAATATTACTTCTTTTTAATACAACAATGTTATTCATCAATACCAATCTATATTGTAGGCTAAATCAGCGTTTCTCAACCTTTTTTGGCCCGCGAACCAGTGGTGTTTTTTCAAAAAACTTTACTATATATTAAAGAATTACTACAGAAGTAAATTGTAAAATTATTATTATCATTTACTTATTATTATTATTTATGCATCATAAAATTTTTATTTATTACATTATCATTATTTTTTTGAAAAAGAAAATTTTTAACGCAGAGCGGTAAAAATTCTCCGCCAACCGGCGGTTGAGAAACGCTGGGCTGAATCATATTTGAATGGCATTTCCTTTCATTTAGTCCTGACTATTTTTACTTTCCCGGCTGTTATATATAACAGAGCAAAAGTATGGCAATGGTAAAAAAATTGACCTGGAAAATGTTTACATTTTTGCACTTAGGACAGCTTGAAACGTCGAGAAATGCAAAAAATCTGGAGGGGGTAATTTTTGTATGTATAAATGTTAGGGTGTATGAGTGTCTGTGTGTGTCACGATTTCGTTCATCCTGTTTGAAGCTTAATAACTCCTGTGCTTTTTGTCGAAAATTTCTGATATTTTGCAGGGAGGTTTGTTTATTAGGAGAATTCATGCTGTTAAATTTTTGTGATAAATGTCGAAGGGGTAGGGAAATAATGGGAGTCGTGTGTATCTCCTGTAGGGTCTGTCTTAATGACGATTTTACTCGTTACTAGCATTAACAATTTTTTTATAAAACTCATTCCTATTCTGAAAAATGGAATGACGCTTTTTGGCATTTTACATTAGTTCAAAATACAAAACATTTTTGAAATAAAATTTGATAACAGATGGAGCCACCAAAATTTTAAATTCTGCTGGGAAAATTTAGCAACTCGTTGCTGGCTTATATAAATTCATGATTAAATTACATTCACTATATAAATATTTTTATTTCTGTATATTTAATTTTATTATATTTAATAACTTTATAATCTGTTACGTAGAATATGAATGAAATACAACCACCACAAAATAATCTAACTGTTGAAGATAAAGAATTTTCCAAAGTTATTTTTAAGTTAAAAGAAGATATAATTAATCTTAAAAGATTTATGAAAATTTAAAAGGTGGTCTGAAGAAAGGATTATGAAAGAACCGTAATTAAGATTTGTATTAAGAAGAAAGTGATATAATTTCCGTATTTCATTCTATAACACTCTTAAAACCAGTGTTGTGGAATCGGAGTCGCTAGTTTCAGACATTTTTCGGTAGAGTTGGAGTCAAAGTCAGAGTAGGTAAAATTCTTTCGACCACTGCAATTCTGATTTTAAAGTTTACTATTGGCAAAATGTGAAATAAATAAAAAAAACGCTTTTTAATGAATTAGTATTTAAAAAATTTCTTAAAAATGGACACTGATAAATTTAGATATTAAATTAATATTAATCCATAAACAGCTTTTCGTACGAAATTTTATGCGCATCTCACGCGACATGCTCTGTAATTTCATGAAATACTTTCTATTAATTTAAAACCCAACAGTGGCCAGGTTGATAAAACCA